TTAAATGAAGGTTATTATAAAGGTTTTTAAGAAGTCTTAACTTAATTTATTTAAGGTACTCCTTAATTTAGTTCTTAAAGGTTTTATAAAAGTATTAAAAGTTCTTATTAAGGTAGTAATTAAGGTTATTAATAAACTATTAGACTTCCTTATTATTAGTTTTAATAGCTATATACTCCTCTTTATAAATATTATTAATATACTTCTTTATTTTATTCTTTAATTTAAACTTCTTTTAATAATATAGGTAGATATATTATTAGTATATACTTATAGTAGTTATAAATAATTTTATCTTTAAAGAGAGGACTTAGGATTGTAGTAGTTATAATATTAGAGTGTTTTACTAGTAGTTATAAGAGAGAGAGAGAGAGAGAGAGAGAGAGAAAGAAGGTAAGAAAGAGTGTGTGAAAGTTACTTATTTAGTTAATTATTTAGGTAACGTAAAGTAAATAAGTAGAGTAATAAATGGGTTAGTGGGTATATAGCTAAATATTAATTTAAAGGTTTAATAAATAAACTTAAATTATTAATTATATAAAAAAAAAGAGTTATTATAAAAGAGTTATAAAACTTACTTAATGAAGGGGTCTTACTTAATAGTTAATTATATTTAAGTAGCCTAAATAACTTACCTTTTAGAAAGGCTATAATAGTAATAATAATATTACTAATTTATCCCCTATTAAAGAATTATAATAATAAAGTAATTTTATTAATTTATTTTTTTTAAACTTAATATTTAAATAATTTAAATAATTTACCTTACTATTAAAAGCTAGTTAGTAATTAATTAATATTAATTAGCTTAGTTTATATATAAGAAGTAGTTAATTAAAGTAATATAAATTAATATTAGTTAGAGGTCTACTTAACTAGATAGTGAAGCGCCTAGTTAGGTTAGCTAGACCTTACTAACTAAGTATAGTGGTCCGTGCGTACACACGGGCCCACTAGCCTTATAATAGCTAATCCACTATAGCCTACTATTCCTACAAATTATTTTTTTATATTTTTTATTTATAAATCTATTAAATTTAATAAAATAAAGTTTAATTATATTTTTTTAATATAATTTATATAATATAACTTATAATATTATAATTAAGTATATTTAAATTTAATAAAAGTATATAATATATATTTAATATTTTAAGTTTATAATTATTATTTAAAAATAATATATTATTTTTAATATATTTAATATTTATTATATTTACTTTACTTTATTTAATTTTTATTTATAAATTTTAATATTTTAAATAGTTTTTATTATATAAACTAATTATATTTATTTTATTATTAAATATAAATTTTATAAATATAATTTATATAATTTTATAATTTATATTAATTATTATATTTATTATAAATATATAAAAATATAAATAGTATTTACTTTTATTTAAAATTTAATAAATTAATATTTTTAAAGTTATTAAATATTTTACCTTTATTTATTTTATTTATAAATAATTTATAAAGTATATAAATAATAGTAATTTTTAGAATTTTCTTTTAATAAATCTTCTTTTTTCCTTATTTTTAATTTATTAAAAGATTAATATCTTAATTTTTTAATTTAATAACTATAAAGAGTAATTTATTAATTTTTTTATTTTATTTTAACCTATTAAAATTTAATTTATATATATAAGTATTTTTTTTTTTTTATTTTTTAAACTTTTAATATTTTATTTGTTAGTTGGCTTAGCTTACGTATAAGTAGGTAAAAGTAGTGTATATTAGTGTTTATTAAAAGGTCTGCCTGGTAGGCGGTAAAGTACCTAGTTGGGTTGGCTAGACCTTGCTAACTAAGTTTGGTTTATATATATATATAGGCCTATTAGCCTTATAGTAGCTAATTTATTATAGCCTATTATTTTTATACTAGTAACTTTTTAGTTTTTTAAAATTAAGATCCTTTATTTATTCTTTTTTTTTAATTAATTAAAAAGCTTTATTTATTAATAAAATAGTTTTTAATTAAATTACTAAATATTTAAAATTGCTATTAAATATATAATTATAATTTGTTTAATTTAAGCGCCTAAAAACGCTTTAAATTAATATTTTTATAAATTGCCTAAATTGTTTAAATTTAAATTGCTTTAATAGGTAAAATTAAGTTTAAATTACTAATTAACTAATTGCTTGCTAGGTTATTGCTAATTAGTTGCTAATTACTAATATTTAGCTAGTTGGCCAGTTAGTTAATTGGCCTTTCTAATAGTTTTTTTTTTTATAATAAACTATTACTTGCTTTATTAGTTTTTTATTTTAGTTAAGGGTTTTATTTTAATTAAGGGTTTTATTAAAGTAATATAAGTAAAAGCATTATTAATATGCGCCTATAATAGCTATAAATGATTTTATTATAAGAAACTTGGGGGTTATAGGTAGCTATAATGCTAAAATGTTTTTATTTAGGTATTATAAAAGAAAGAAAAAAAAGTTAAAAAAGTATATAAAAGTTACTTATTTGGGTAATATAAGGTAGGCTAGTAAATAGGTTAATTAATAGGCAGCTAAATAAGTTAATAGGTATATAGCTAAATACTAATTTAAGGATAAATTTAAATTATTAATTTATAAAAAAGATTGCCTAATAGGTAAAAAAGGCTATTATAGTTATTTATAATTTAATGCTTTTTGTAGGCTATTATAAGAAAGGTTTATTATAAAAGAAAATATTATTATTAAAGTTGCAAGATTTGCCTAGTAAAGGGGTTCTACTTAGTGGTTAATTGCGCCTAGGTAGCCCAAATAACTTGCCTTTTTTAGGCTATAATAATAATAGTAGTATTATTAATTTATTTTTTTTAGACTTAATATTTAAATAGCTTAAATAATTTACTTTACTATTAAAAGCTAGTTGGTAATTAATTAGTATTAGTTGGCTTAGCTTATATATAAGTAGGTAAAAGTGGTATATATTAATATTTATTAGAAGGTTTGCCTAATAGGCGGTAAAGTGCCTAGTTGGGTTGGTTAAACCTTATTAACTAAGCTTGATTTGTGTGTGTATACGGGCCTATTAGCCTTATAGTGGCTAATTTACTATAGCCTATTATTCCTATATTATTAAAGTTAAAAAAATAATAATTTTTTTTAATATATTTTTTTAAATTATAATAAAAGTACTTTATTATTTTCTTTTTTTTATTATTATTATTTTTTATAAATAATATTTTTATAAAAAAAAGTTTTTTTTTTAATTTATTTATTAAATTAATAAATAAAATATTAAATATATAATTTTTAAAATCTTTTTTTAAACTTTAAATAATATTTTATATAAATCTTTTATAATTATTATTAAGTAAATTTAATATTTAAGTAATAATTATTTATTTAAAAGATTAATATTTTTATTTTAAATTTTTAATTAATTATTTAATTTTATTTAAATATTTTTATAATATTAATTTTTAAAAATATTTTAAAATTCTTTTAAAATTAAATATTTTATAATAAATTTATTAAATTTATAAAATTTTTAAAGGTATTTTAAAACTTTATAATAATATTTTTATATTTTATATATATAAAAACTTTTTATATATTAAATAAATTAAAATATTAATTTTATAGTTTTATTAATTAAAAATTTTATAAACTATTATTATTTTAATTAAACTTTTTTATATAGAAAGTTATAGTTTTTATATTTTAGTATAAATAATATTTTATATTAAATAATTAAAAATATTATATTTATTATATAAAGTTATAAAAATTTATAAAAAAGTTTTAAATTAAAAACTTATATTATAAAAATAAAATTAAAACCTTATATAATAATACTTTTAAGTATATTTTTATTATATTTAATATATTCTTTAACTTTTTTATAATTTTTTTATAAAGGTTTTATTTATTTTTAAAATTAAAAATATTTCTTATAATTTTTAATTATATTAAATATAATATAATAAATTAAAGAGTTATATTTAATAATAAGGTTATAAGTTTTAAATAAATATTTTATAAAGTTATAATAATAATAATCTTTTATAATAATATTAAAAATATTTTTAAATATTTTTATAAATTAAAATATTAAATATAATATATATTAACTTTATTTAAATATTAAAATTAATTAAAGTAATTAATTTTAAATAAATTATAAAATTTAAATATTAAAATACTATTAATAAATATTTTAAAAGATTTAAAGTCTTATTAATTGATTAAAATAATAATATAAATATTATTAAAAATTAAAGATAATTTAAAGTTTTAAGTAATATTTTTATAGAAAGTTTAATTAAAAATTTATAAAGTAAAAATTTAAAAAATAAAATTAAAAGAGGATTTTTAATAAATTTTAAAGAATTTTAATAAAATTAATTTCTAAATTTTTAAAAGAAATTAAAAAATTATATAATAACTTATTAAAATTAAAGGTTTAAATAATTAAAATAATATAATTAAAATCTATTTATTAAAATAAATTAAATAATATATTTTATAATAAAAGAATTTTATAATAATAAAATAATTAAAAATATTTAAAATTAATAATATTAAAAATAAATATAAATAATTTAAAGTATTTATTAATTTTAATTTAAAAAAGTAAAGTTTAATTAATTTAATTAAAAGGTAATTAAAAATTTAATTTAATTAAATATAAATTTAATAAATTTAATATAATAAATTAACTTTTAAAATAAATAAATTAAGTTTATTATAATTTAATTAATTAAATATTAAAGAATATAATCTATAAAAATAAAGAAATAAATTTCTTTTAATTATAAACTTATTTAAAAAGGAAAGAATAATTCTTTTTATAAATAAAAATAAGTTCTTTAAATATTTATTAAAATACTATAAAAATTAAAAGAAATAAATATTTCTTATATAAGTTAGTATCTTATATTTAAAGGATTAAAATAGTAGTTATATTAGGCTATAGATAGATATAGAACCGTTAATAAATAGGGTATTTTAATATAGATGCTAATAATAGACACAGGAGGCCCCATCCTTTTTACTTCATGGAAGAGACTTGATCACTGAGAGGCGTTGCTGGGTGTCCGTGATAATTATTCAGTCACCTTCTTCCTCCATCTGCCCCTCCGCCTGCCGCCGACTGAGTAGTCCAAATGAGGAAAACAGACAACCTCAGAGCGCCTCGAGAGGTTGCCAACCAGCCAGCCAGCACTTCAGCCCACCCTCCATAAAAGGCCAAATACATCTGTATCATCACATCTAAAGAAAGTGAATCATGCAATCATGCCATCAATTTTAGTCATACAAATAACCCATCATCAAATATTTAGGTCTATAAAACGCCGAGCTAGACTCCAGGGTGTGTGGGTATTCCATTTTCGCCGTCAATACTTAGAAGGAAAAAAAAAGGGGGCTTCGCTCCCAAGCCCGAGAACCCATTTTGTTTTTCTCCCCGTGCGACAAAAAGAGCAGGCTCAAAATTGAATTGCACAATGCACCTCAAGCAGTTTTTTTTGGGTTCCCCGCCTCCTCACACAGGTTTGCTCCCTCCCTTCATCCCACAAACTGGGCGACGAAAGAGGGCCGGAAGACCTGTCTATCACAATTTTCCCCGTTGAGTCCCATTGCCATAAACGCCTCGCAGGTGGTCAGATTTTTCTTTGGGGTTGTGTGAGTGAGTCAACAACGTCAGCGCTAGCGACGAGCAGCAAATGGAGTAACATCAGACCGTAGCGTTTCCGTGTAGGAACATCAAGAGTCAAGACTGATCGTACGCTGTGGTATCGTATCATCAAGTCTCAGCCAACCCGGCCGCCTCGTGGTGCGCGGGCGGTGGCGCCGAGGGTGGTGTTCCAGGGCCCGGCGGGTCAAGGGTGTAAGCGTGGTCGGAAGCATGACTGCTTCCCGAGCCTCCCATGCCCTGTTCCTGGTGCGCGCCAGGGTGGGCCTCCTGGTAAGGCAAGAGCAAGTTCGCACAGAGGTGAAGCTCGAGTGTGCGGGAGTCCAGGGCGGAGAACTGGGCGTGCTGCTGTTGCGCGATGACATCGGCGGCTGGTATCCTTTGTTAGCTGACTCTCTTCTTGCAAGGGATTGAAGGTCCCGACAGATACCATGCTTACCTCGCAGATTGATGCGTTCGAAATAGGACTGCAGGACGGGATCTGGATCCTCGACAATCAGGACCCCGTCGTTTTCCCGGATCGCAGTCTTCGGTAGTGCGCGTCGGATGCCCAGCAGCATGCCCAGCAGTTCGGATATTCTGTAGCCTTGCTGGGTGTAGTCGCTCGGCAGCCGCTCCAGGGGCCAGCAGTTGATGGTCTTGCTCATTTCCTCCCACGCCTTGAACGCCCAGGTTGACTTCTCCACGCAGATGAGCAAGACCAGAATGGTAAAGAACATCCCATGGCCAATCTTAGTCCTCGCGTCCTGCAGGTCCCGCTGCATGTGCGTCAGCAGGTTCTTGCTGGTGGTCGACGCCTTGCGCTCCGCCGCGGCCGTCAGCTGCAGGCAGATGGTCTTGTACAGCTCCGCCTCGGTCTCCTGTGTGACTGGCCTGCCCTCGAGCTGCGCGGCCGGGGACGGGCGGATCTCGAGGTCCCACTTAAGCTCCCGGTCGATCACCTCCACGAAGCCCCAGAGCTCGAGGGCCAGCCTGAGATTCCTGTCGTCGGTGTCGCGGGCGATCTGGATGGCTGTCTCCACAGTGATGCGGGAGAACGACGCCCGCTCCTTTTGCGCAAACACAGGCAGCTGGTCTCGGACGTAGGCTTCCATCTTGCCTGACAGTTCCTCTTGGTCGTTGATCATGACGATCTGCGGCGTTGCCCAGCGCTCGTCTTCCGCAAGGAGCTCGGCGCCTGACTCCTTAGGCTTAGTGCCGCGGAGGGTCTCGACCAATATTGCAGACCCCTCTCCCGGGAAATGCGAGGCCTGGAGCACCACAGGCGGATGGTCCAAGTTCAGTGTTGACTTGAAACCGTTGATCTGTTTCTGCGCGTGTACGATCTGGACCCCGGCATCATACAGGTTCAGTTCATCGGTGAACTTCGTGCGCACACACCCTGAGCGCCAGATGCGAGGAGACAACACCTTGCGGCAGGTGTCACAAGGATCGCCCTGGGAGCAGGTCTTCCTCAGTATCCTGCATCTTATGCAGGCACCGATCTTCCGGACCTGCTGGACCTCCTTCCTGCGTTGTTCGTCAAAGCGCGCCCGGGAATGTCTTGACCTGGAGCCGTTCTGGTCCACCCGGAATACTGATCTGCTGGACATGGGAACTCCGTGCAGCGGGTGATTGACAGCAGTTGGGGGTGCGAGGGGCGGGTTTGCCATGTAAGTGATCTCGCCCCAGGGCTGCTGCGACCCAGACTGCGACCCAGGCCGTGGAACGTGAGGTTGAGGTTGAACTGGGGCCTGTGCTGAAGCTTGTGGAGAGTGTTCTGGAGTTTGAGTCGCGGCGGCGTGCTCTTCCGGAACTGCTGTGACAGGTGCAGGGCCGGCAGGAGCTTCGGTGTCCTGAACAGTTTCTATCGCCCTCGCCAGATCCTCACCCAGGTTGTGGTCAAGGAACAGTGTGGGGTCCAACATGGAGTTATTCAGCCTGGCAGCTGCAGCCGCTGCGACACTCAGGTTGGGCGCTTCGGTGGGGGTCGTATTATGATCATTTGGATCCTGGACGTGATCTGCCATGCTCGGTTGGCCATCCGGCCCGTCCATGGCTGTAAAAGCTGTCAGATTCTGGTAGATTGAATCTTGGGCGAGTATGCCAATAGTGTGCTCACCTGGTCCTTCTGACGGCTGGTGCTCGTTATATGGAGAGGAGTGGTCCTCGACTGTGAACTGGTCCTGAATTTCGGGACGGTCGAGCGCGGGTGGGCCAGACATGGAGAAGGCGCCGGGGAAAGGCTCGTGTGACCCATGCTGTCCCTGTGACGTCTCGCCTCCGTATTCTTTCAGATGGTCGATCCGCGCCCTAGACACCTCAGCCAGAGTCTCCAGCGGTGTCCAGCCCTGGTGAGGTTGCATCAATGGGAGCTCCAACTGAGGGCCAGAATGCTGCTGAACTTGTTGATGCTGTCGGGCCTGCAGAGCCCGCGGGGTACGGCCGGGTGGGATGCCATTGAGCATGAGGCAGGCATGTATGCGTTCCTGTTCGGATATCGCGGGGCATCGCTTCGTCAGATGAGTCGTCAGGCTGTCGATTCGACCCTTGGGGAAGTTTTCGCCGCAGAGTTTGCAGGTTTGGGGGTACCTATGAGTTTGATATGTTAGTATATGTACTAGAATAGCCAACTTGAAAAGAAAGGAGAACTTGGAGGCGCGAAAGGCAAGTCTCAAACCTCGGGGGTTGGGCGGTCTGGGCAGCTTTGAAGGAGACGAGGCAGCCGAGGTGCTTACCTATTGGAATTGTCTGCCAGCTTGGGTCCCCGCTGGAAGTACTGCTGGATCACCTGGTTAGGCCGGCGACCCATGGCTGTGATTGCCTACCAAGACTGGCTTGGATCTCCCTAAAAGCGATTACAGTATGTCGGGGTGCTCGCTGGCTGGTTCGAGTCGGGGTTGACTTTCTCGAGATTCTGCTGGTGGAATTTTTGGCGGCGAGGGCTGCAAGCTCTGAAAGGAGCAAGCGGTAAGGCCAACCCCGCTGGAATTGTGGGCCTACCTCATGTGATTGGCCACAGATCGATAAGATAAAGCGCGATAAGCCGCCCTTGTACCCCGTACCGCTTGATTATGTACCTCCTTGCACCTGACACACAGCCATGGAGAACAAGGCAAGGAGAAAGAATACCCCAGGGTAGGCCGAGGAATCAAATTGCAACCTTTGAGACATGATTGCATTGCTGAAGAGACTTTTGGAAATTCATGTGTGCCGTGCAGCAACACCCCCAGGCGAAAACATGTCACGAGCAGCAGCCATACTTGACAAGGATCTTCAACAGCTTCATGTCATTGTGACTACACCACCGCCATGTCTTCAAAAATCTACATGCTATCATGTTGAGGCCACTTCTACATAGGTCTTCTTTTAAGTCACATAGGAAGTCATTATGTATTCATTTCCTATAACCCCATTGTATAGACTTTCTATCAAGATGTTAGGAATTTATCTCTACCACAATGTATCCTATGGGAGGGTTCTCTTTAGTAGGCTGCTCTGTAATATGCTGTGCTGTGGTAGAATTCAGCTTACAAGATCCTAAGGTTTCTTACTTAGGGATTATCTCTCAAGGGAGCTGTCTCTGACAACAGAAACTTGTTCAATGTTTCTGGACAGCTAAACATCTTGCCCAGGTGGATGGATGGATGTGGTCCCAACCCTTTCAAACCCCTTTCTAACTTGCAATACTTCATCATCACATGATAAGGTGACTGCTACTATCTCTGTAACATTTGATCAAGATCATAACCTTGTCAGTCCCACAAAGCCCTCAGCCAGCCCGGTCTGAATATGTGTTTGACGACGTGCAGGGAACGGTCTACAGGTACCCTAGCAACCTTGGAGCCTTGGAATGCTAGACAAAAGTTAAGTGCCCTTTGAGTCAATCCAGGTTTCCAAAAGCGTCCTAAGACATGGATATAGAACCTTGGAACAGTGGCCCCCTCTCCCTTCCCCTCTAGGCGGCAAGTTTTGTGTACATGCAATCTTCAAGCAAGAGACTCCATTCCATGTTCTTCAACCCCACCTTCATCCGAATAGGTCTTAAATGGTCCCAAAGAGTCTTTTTCTAGATATCTGATTAATTAGCACATACCCACATGGCCTCGCATGCTCAAGTTCGGGTCACATTTTCACTACACCACCGCATCTATTCTGAGGGCCAGGCTGGCCTGGGGTACGTGACAACGTCACCCATCCACAGATAATGCTCCATCTGGTTAGACTCTAGCATCTGCCCGGCCCATTGAGATGTTTTGAAACCGTCTGCCGCGGCCCAGGACCAGATGATGGCGCTTTGTATTCATTCTTCTGCAGCAGTGGGTTCCCACTGTCTGATACTGAACGGCCAGCGGGAGGCCACGAGCACGGTGCCACACCACGTCCTGCTGTAGGGTCGGTTTCCAGAGCTTTCACGAGGTGATGGGCCCCCGTGGAGTCTGAATATCTCTGCGCGATTGCTGCAACAGCAGGAAGCTTGTCTCGTGGCTTTACCAGGTTCCGTACAGTGTATGACTGCAGCATATGTTTACAACGTCCGCTTTCAAATCATTTCCTGGCAATTGACAATATGGGCAGGTACATTCTTCCAGCCTGTTTCTAACCTATTCTAAGGTCTTTCTAGGATAGAGACTGGGGCTTGGGATTCTGAGGCTGAAATTTGAGCTTCTAAGAGAGCAATGGCTACGACATCTGGACACAGTCTCAATCGTAAGTTGGGTGCCTAGGTAGAGGTCTCTTTTCTTGTCACCATCTTCATGGTTCTTCCAACTCTTTTGAACAATTGCTACACCAAACATGCCCCCCTTTACCCTCAAAATAGCCGTGCAGTTCTGCAACGGCGTAGTTGCTGCTGAAGTCTTGAGCTTCGGAACCGTCCAAGCTTACGTATGCCAGCCACCTTGGACGCGCCCCGTCCCCGAAACAAATCCAATTCTCTTATTGAAGACCTTGAGTATCTCTAGCCAAATAGGCAGGGCGGCCTTCCATACTGGAATATACGCCCAAACCCCGTCAAACCTCGTTATTGTGTATGATGGCAATTGTGGCTGCTTGGCGATTGAGAGCTTGTGGGTGTATGCACCGTATAAACGACGTAAGAGATGCCGTGTAGAAGCTTGCGAATGAAAACGGCCCAGAGTGGGTGGTCAATAGATGTTTTGGAATAGCCCCACCAGGAGACCTCGGGATGAATGCCCAGGTGGTCTTCGTGGTTGGGATGGGGTAAAGGTAAACGAGTCAACCAGAAGATCGACACTGCAGGACAAAGAAAAGCAAAACATGCAAAGATCCCAGCATCTGAGGTGGGTAATAACTGTGTTGGTTGAACGTTGTTGGGTGTTCCAATAATAAGTTTCGTTTCAATCCTACATCATGCGCCATGGAATGGCTGGTTATGGATGAGAGTGGGCTAACAAGCTAAGCCCGAGGCTTGCAGTCTCGGAAGAGCTCGCATGAGGAGAGAGCAGGTGGGCGGCCCAGTCGTCCACATGAGAAAAGGTGTGAATGGCTGCCACCGTGACCGGTGGGGCCATTTCAACCAGCGGACCCCTGGCAGCCCGCCCAAGGGGCCTTCCCTTCCTGCCTCTAATAAGCTGAAGCATTGAAGCATGGGCCCCTCTGGGCCCTGGGACGGGACACGCTAGGGTCACAGCAGGCAAAGCAGGCAAAACAGGCAAAGTACGGACTAGGGCAGCCCCTCCCAGAGTCCCAGCCCACCACGGCTCAGCAGGGTTCACGCCTCCGCTTCCGGGGCTACCCAATGGCCCCCTTGTCCTTGGACGTCAGTCCAAGCAACCCAAGACGACATGTCTTGGTCACATCACTTGACTTTTGACTCACAGGTGGATGTGCCCAGCACACCTCATCGACGACCTCTTCCCTTTCTCGCACCTTAAGCACATACTGTACATACATACACACGCCTCTGTCTCATAGGACTGATTGATTACGACAGAAACTGCAGACTTCGCTCACCTGTCGTGCCACAATTTAGTTCCTGCGGCCTCCCGTTGATGCCGTGCCCGTGACCCGTCTAGTCGCCGTCACGATAAGCCGGCAGACATCTCGGCTCTCGCCCCAAGGCCCAGGGCCCAGAGGCTGGCCTTGTTCTCGAGTCCCGTGGTTGGTGGTGCACTCTCAAGCATCCCATTCCCATGCCACCAACCTCTCAGCCTCGTCCGTGCATGAGGACCGCCAAAAAAAGAAACACTCTCTCGTTGGAGGCAGGCCCTGCAGTGTTGGATCCTCAACCCGGTCACCCGTCCATACAGCAGTGGATATCCCCAATGACCGACCGACCAGGCCCGTTGTGACGACCGCCTTTCGACCCCTCAACTTTTCAATCTCCTGCCTCAAGCCACCCAAGGTTCTGAAAAGGACCTCGGGTGGTTTCCAACTCTCAACTCTGTCCCTTTGTCGTCCTGAAATTCCGGCATTCCCAAGACGACGAGGCACTTTATCGGCTGCACCAGCGATATAAGCACCAACATGCCCATATTCCGCGAGAATCTCGACCATCATGACGTTTCAGCGCCTCAGTCCGAGTCTCCAGTGGCACAGCCGGTACCGCTCCACCTCTCTCTGCGCAATCACGCCAGCCACCACATGTCCTTGACCCGCCAGCTCTCGGAAGAGAGCATCCGGACAGAACTCTGCGAAGGGCCGGTACCAGATCCCTCAGAGCCCTCGTCCCCGACCCCCGGGTTGTCCGTGAACACGACGTCCGACCGGATTGACCTGATTGAGCGGCTCAAGAAGGGGGAGAGTCCTACTTGGAGCCCCAAACGCCATGTAAGTGCCGGGAACTCGCTCCGTTCGCGCCCTGGCAACATGCCTAACGATCCCACTCAGTTCGATGCTCTCTTCCGCCGAAGTTCCTCCCGAGAACAGCCATCAAGCCCGCAACCAACCTCTAGCGAATCTACCACACTTTCACCCCCATCGAAGGACAGGCTAGGTGCGCAGACACAAGAGACGGAAGATTTGGAGCACATGCAGCAGGGCCTTGCAATAGAGCGGCCTAGGTCGGCTCTTCACAGCGGCGACTTCACACCGCATGCTTCTGCAACCCGTCAGGACGAATTAGAGAAGCAGGGCGCCAAGGGATTCCAAAACTCTGAGGGTCACTACCGGGAACACCACTCCCGTTTCGCCACCTCTCCTCCGCGAGACTTTACTCCGTTCAAATTCGACAGAAGAATTCCATATGTCGACCCACCAGATGGTTTCCGGGCCTCACCACCCTCCGTCTCCTCGTCCATATCGTCCAGTTTTGTATACAAGCACCCTACGAGCCCCCTCGTTCAATCCGAAAGCAACGATGATCTGAGTTTGTCCATGCCAATAAGCCACATAGACTTGGACCCTCCAACACCCAGCAGGCTGTCCCGACGGCAAACATTGAGCGGCTTGTATTCACACCAGAATGTGCCCACAACTGCGCAGAGGATACCCGGCATGTATCGGGAGTCGATCCAGTCCTACCAAGCCCACCAGCCGAGGAGGTCTCTCACATCCACTCCGACCTTTTCTTTGGGAGCAACATCACCGCAGAGTTCGGCGTTCTCGAGGCGCCCGTCGTTAGGCCTGGAATCGTCTTCGCCTCTGCACCAGACCTCGATGGTTGGATCGTACGAGGAGAGCATCCTCCGGGGCCGCATGTCCACGACGCCCTCGAAGCCTCTGGATTTCATGGCTCAGATAGGTGTTCTGGGCCTGGGGAATTGCAAAAGCAGCCTGCGTTGTCCGGCCCATGTCACGTTGCCTTTTCCGGCCGTCTTTTACAGTTACGTGAATACACCCCACGGCCGGTCCAAGAGTGATGATGGGCCAAGCCCCTATGTTGGACAGATCGACCTTGAGAACGGGCTCGCAAATCCGGACGAGACCTCAAGACAAAGACGCAAGTCGCATCAAAGAAGCATGTCAGCAGCCAATCGGCAGCGGATGGATGGGGATGAGGACATCGCAATGACCGATATCAACTCCGGTGTTGACGTGGCCGGTGTCGACGCACGGAAAGCGAATAAGCTGAAACGGAGGTCAAACTCCCCGAAAGCACCGCCTGGGGGAAGTTATCGAATACCAGAGAAAGGCCAGATCCAGATCATCATCAAGAACCAAAACAAGACGGCAGTGAAGCTGTTCCTCGTGCCATACGACCTCGAGGGCATGGAGCCCGGCACAAAGACCTTCATCCGCCAGCGGTGTTATTCCGCCGGCGGCCCAATCGTCGAGAACCTGCCCTCGACCAGCGAGAGGCCAACCCTGCGGTACCTGGTCCACCTGCACATCTGCTGCCCCGCAAAGGGGCGCTTCTACCTCTACAAGAGCATCCGCGTCGTCTTCGCCAACCGCGTGCCCGACGGCAAGGAGAAGCTCCGCAACGAGGTGACTCTCCCCGAGCCAAAGTTCACGCCCTACAAGCCCGTCAGGGTCATGCACCAGCCCGTGACGCAGGCGACGACGGGGCCCGGCGCGAGCCTCGCGGCCGAGAAGGCGTTCCGGCGGCGCAGCTCGGGCTTCTCGTTCGGCGGCCAGCAGTACCAGCAGCTGCTCCCGCCCTTCGACGCGGGCGAGCCCATGCCCATGCCCAGCCTGTCGCTGCTCCGGGCGAGGGCGTCCAGCTTCCAGGACAGGGGGCTGGCCCTCGGGCGGCCCGTCGGCGCGGGCCTCTCCGGTTGTGCCCAGGTGCTACTCGCGCCGACGTCGGTGCCTGCCGCCGAGGCGGCTCCGGCTCCGACGCCGCCCCTGAGCTTTGCCAAGGGCGACGTCGCCGGGTACGTCAACGGGGGCGGCGCGCACCTGGCTGGTGGTGGTAGCCCTGGTGCTGCCATTGCTGAGGGGTTGCTGTCGCAGCGGCTGCGGTCGCTGGGGATGCAGAGTGCGTGTAGTGGGGAGCTGGAGCTCGGGGATGCTGATCTTGAGCTGCGTGGGGACTGAAGAGGTGTTTTGAATTTGGCCGGCCAGACAGGCACTGACTGGACTGGACTGGGTGAGGTCTGGTGCTCGCGCGCGCGCACACACACACACACAACACACACACACACATATGTATATATCTATTATATCACAGGGTTTCGGGGGTTGGAGTCATATTATAGACAGCGGTAACTGGTAAGCACCGCGGAATTGGGAAGGGGGGCCGGAATGTTAATTGTGTCTGTCACACATCCGTCCATTCTGCATTTGGACGGTTTCAATATTTTCCCTTTCTTTGTTTTTGTCAACCTCTTTTGCCGAACAGGGTACAGTACTGTGGCGGGGTGGGCTCGGAGTACGCTGGGAGCTTGGATAAAGAAATCATAGACACATACTTGACAAATGAGAGCAATTTCAAATCAGCATATCATCCCTCACCGTGACTCTTCTACAACGTCTGTTGTTCTGGCATGTGAGTCGGGCTACATGGGCATGGGGGAGTGGGTGAATGTTCTCCCCCTGGGTTTCAACACATTAAGTGGTTTCGCTTCTATTCCGTATACGTCCGAGGACACACATCGCCCTTTCACACAGTGGTAAACGCTTAAAATCATGAATTTAGAACAAGTTCTTTGTGAGGATGTTATCCCTTGGTAGCTTGGCCTGTAAGAGGCCGTGCTAGAGAACTTGAAGGCCCCCCTTTCAAGAGCGTATCCTCTACGACCTTGTCTTCTAGAAGCTTAGAAGATTTTCTGGCACAGCACCTGAGGGTACTCAAGTGCTCACTCTCTACACCTAGGGTAAGTTCCGCCATGGGAGATGGATCTAACCAGGAAGCACAAAAGCGGAGATGTCACAGTAGCCAGTGGGAGAGTATGTAATCTAATTCTCCTGCATAAGGATAGCAACTAGTCCAGTCGGGCTACCACAATGAACCCCGAGGGGGGCAGCTCCACTCGGGCGGAGTTCTATGGTGCGCGGGGTCATTGAAAATAATGAGGGTTATAAGAAGCCCGAACGCTCCACTCCCGATTATTTGGTCCCTCCTGACGGCAGAGACTGAGAGAGTTGTGCACTCTTGCGTTATGGGGCATACCAGGGAAAAGGTTCTTGACGATGTCAAGGTAAGGCGCGGGCCACCCATGCCAGTCTTGAAGATCGTGCCGCGTGTGAGTGAGGAGAAAGCCCCTGTAGCGCCGGGCGACCTCAAGGTCGGTGTTCGAGTTGTAAAGCACGTCCAGCCTCAGTGTGGCCCTCGGCTCTGGGGAGTCAGTCGCAATAGTGAAGTGGACGGAGCAAGGCGCGACCTGGGGGATGAATGTCCCGGCTTTGAGCCGCTCGAATCGTTCAATGTACGATCCTAGATCGACGGCGTTGCCGGCTAGGCCCCCGTCGTTGTTGCCGCCGGCCAAATCCGGAGCATTCAAGCCGCTTCCGCCGTAGATGCGCTTGAAGAACCTGATGAAAGAAAGCATATTCTTTCTGTCCTTCCGCACCTCCGTGATGCGCCTGCCGAGGTTAAGCCACTTCCACGGCTCTCTGAAGTCTGCGGATGTTGCTCCGGCCGGGACCGTAAAGGAGAGCCCGATGCATGCTCTCGCCGGCTCCTCGGGGCCTATGTCGACGGTGGAGAGCAGGTTGCCGAACTCGGGCGGGTACCCGGCGAGGAACTTGTCGATCATGTTTACGCCTGACAAGATTCGCCGCATCTGGAGTGTATTGTCATAGAGGCCGGGGAGCGTCAGAATGGACTTCTTGACCAGCGCCTAGCGGGTGATGCCAAGAGTTTCCGCCTTCCGCGCGGGCACGAAGTAGACCCTCGCGTCAGCTGGGATCGGGCCGGGGTATTGTGGCTTAGAGCCCATTTCGGGGCGGACGGCGCGTCTGATGTCAAAGCCGAGGCGGACGTCCCCGAAGTAGGTGGAGCCGGAGCCTTTCATGACGGAGCCGTAGAGCCAGTTTGGCCAGTCCATCTGGTAGTCTATGTTCCCAAACGTGTTGCGCCGGCAGTACTCTTCGAGAGTCTTCTGTCCGGTTAGATGGTCAACCTCTGCTATGACTCGGACGGGCGGGCGGTCGACCGGGTTGGGAATTACGGAGGTAAAGTTCACGCTTATCTCGATGGGGCTGCTGTCCGGGTTGAGCCTGGTAACGCACTGGTTTGGGCCGGCGGAATGCTTTTCACCATTGAAGCACCATGCTCGCGGGATGCATTCCATGAAGTAGGTCAGAAAGCGTTGGACGGCTTGATCTTGATAATCCCTGTTTTTGAGAATATGTTCTAGATCAACCCGGGTAACTCTGCGCCAGTTCTGTAAGCTTGGGTCGTCTTCGTCGGGGTACAAGTAGAGGGCCTCCTATGCCTCGGCAAGATCCGCGTCGGTGATATCCTCGTCTGAATCGGTGAGATCCTCATCTGAATCGGCCATCTCGCCGTCTGTCTCGCCGTCTGTCTCGGCGAGATCCTCGTCTGCTTCGGCCATCTCGTCGTCTGTCTCGGAGAGATCTTCGGAAGACTCCTCAGAGAGATCCTCGTCTGCTTCGGCCATCTCGTCGTCTGCTTCGGCCATCTCGTCGTCTGTCTCGGAGAGATCTTCGGAAGACTCCTCAGAGAGATCCTCGTCTGCTGAGGAATCTGAGGAAAGGGGCATGGAAGTCATGTTTGTATTTCTGAAGGCTTGGATGGTCGATGATTTGCAGCCGTGTGTATGTCGATGTGGTTGGGTCTACTATGACGTTGGAAGAATTCATGTTGTTGACTACGAGTCTGCTCAAACAGGCGGTTGGTACCTCATTCACTTGAACTGTGACCTATATTATATATGGCAGCTTCGACCCGCCCTTGGGGTTTCGTTGTTTGTTCCTTCCTTTGGGTGATATCGATCAGAATTGTTGGGGGCTTTACCAGGCTGTCCGCTGCGCAGCCACATTGACTCACAAATTTCTGGTAGGACACTCTCGTACGGGGCCAAGCTCCTTACATAAATGACTACCGAAAAATCGCCCCATCCTCAGGAAAACAGCAATTTGAATCATAGCAGAACTCCCATGGTCATCCTATGTTATGCCCCGAGGTTATCCCATGCTAGTGGGAGGTCGGTGTGTAGGATTTTGTCGAACTTTGAAAACTCGGAGGGCATACTTTTAGACGTTATCTCACAGGAGATTATCGCACAATACATGATTCTCAAGGAGGTTATCATGGGAGGTTGTTCTACAGCTGGTTGTCCTGTTATAATTTGGGCCGGCCCCGGGGGGCAGTCGAAAGGGGCAAGGGGGAGATACTACCTAGGGTAGGTATGATCGCGTAATGGACACCGGAGCGTGTAGATTGGTGGACTGATTATGGCGTCGGCGCTTTATGTGTGGTTCAATCGTGTTAGTTGGTTGGAGTAGGATATTGGAGGTGCAGGCGGATTATCCGGCTCGTGGTTGCGCAGCGGTAGATCCCTGTCGATCTCCCGCAGCGTCACCGTAATCTACCGGCCCGCCCTCCAGCTGCCACCTTACTCTACGGTTCTTATCCTTCCGCCAGCTTCATGTCAACCAAGACATACTATGTAGTACTGTAACGATGCTCATGCGACCAAGTGTGTCCAGACATACAGAATTATATAACCATGCGATAATGTTCGAAGTGGCTTCCCGGGGTGGTTGACAAGCCTGTAGTAGTATCATTGATGCAAGGTCCGATAACCCGAGTTAACACTGCTCAGAGCCAACTCCAATAGCCGAATATCATGGGACCATCATTTCTTGTCGGTGGCAAGCATAACAGGCTGCGTGATTACGGATCCAAGTGTGGAGGCGTCATTTTAATTTCGCGTTGGTGCGCTGGCAATCCAAGCTGGACAGTGAAGTGCGCGGCGGAAAACCCGAACATCCCTGGCGCCTTTTTTGGGTAGTCTCGAGGACTACTTTTACAAGAAATATCCCTCTGGCACAGTTATAATGAGCAACGATTTCACCGTTACGGGTTAGAATTGTAATGTCAAGCATTTTCGTGCTACCGTGACTTGGTCTGATGGTATAAATCAAAGCCAACCCCTGGATTTGAAAAGCAAAGCCCTATGGAGCACACGTCTCATTATTAGCAACTTGCAATTCCTAGACTGCAAAGCCCTGAAGGGCAAACCCCTCAGGTACAAGGCTCCGAGAGCGGATCAGAAGTCGGGCGGCGGGCCAGGTTCGTCCCAACTTGCAAAGTTGCATCTTGCATCACGTCAGAGCACTGACACTTTATTCAGTGCCCGAGGTCTCGATATCCGGTTTTCGCTACGTGTAAGCCGTGGAAGAGAAACAAGACCAAATCATATGGAACCGTCGATTTGATCAGGATACCATAGGTGAACCCTGTTTGACTGCTGCTGGCATAACGCCACACCCATCCCAGGCGAGTGGTAGAGATTGTGCAAAATGACGGCCATTTTCCTTGCGTTTCTAGCCCTAGCTGCTTCAGGATCTTGGGCAAGCAGTCTGGCAACTGGCGGCTTAATTCGCCGTGATACAAAAGTAACCGAACCGAACACGTCAAGACCCGTGGTGGACCTAGGCTATGCTCTCCACGCCCCTCGGATTACGACTTCTCCGGATGAGCGAACATATTACAATTTCTCGAATATACGTTACGCTGCGCCTCCAGTCGGCTCCCTCCGCTTCCAGCTGCCACAAGAACCCATCAACAACCGCTCGGCCGGGGTCCAGGATGGCACCTATGGCAAGATCTGCCCCCAGGCATATACACCATGGCAAAACCCCAGTTTCGTGACTGCTCCCCCGGGCGAGCTGGAGAGCGAGGACTGCCTCTTTCTCGACGTTGTCGTGCCACAGTCGGCTTGGAATCAACGTTCCCATTCATTACGCCCCGTCATGGTTTGGGTCCATGGCGGTGGGTTCCAGATTGGCGCGAAGTGGGGTGGGCCTTTGACAAACCCTCTAGGCCTCCAGGACCGCAGCTTTGATGAAGATGGAGAAGGTGTTGTTTTCGTCGCTTTGAACTACCGGGTCAGTCTCATCATGATTTTTAAAGGACCCCACAACCTCAAAGCTGACAGCCTGAATACAGCTCGGTGCTCTGGGCTGGCTGCAAGGAGAGTCATTCACCTCGGCAGGAGGAGTGCCCAATGTAGGGTTGCACGACCAACGCAAAGCTCTTCAGTGGATAAATAAGAGGATTCATCTTTTCGGCGGCGACCCATCTCGCGTCACGATTATGGGCGAGTCTGCCGGCGGAGGGTCTATCCTCCACCACATCACCGCATACGGTGGCAAGAAGGACGCTCCGCAGTTCCAGCGGGCTATACTTCAGTCTCCAGCCTATGTACCGAGGCCTTATTCCTCGCAAGCCAAAGGCTCGTACTCGACCTTCCTGAATGCCGCCAACGTCTCCTCACTGTCAGACCTCGTGGCGCTCGACACATTGCGTGTCCAGATCGCAAACAAGCTCTCACAGTCATCGAACTTCTTCGGCGGTTTTCAATTCGGTCCCGCACCGGACGGAGGGTACGTTCCGGAGCTGCCAGAGAAGCTCCTGGCAAGTGGTCAGTTCCACAAGGGCGTTCAGGTGATGGTGGCACATAATACCTTCGAGGCTCTGAAGTACACGGACCCGACAGCCACGAACTCTTCCGCTTTCGACACCTGGATGAAACTTTACTTCCCCGATATCCCGAGAGCAAGCCTTAAGGAGCTGACGACCAAGATATACCCGCCCGTGTACAACTCCAGTTCCCTCCCGTGGACGACCCCGTTCGACCGGGTCATGACCGCCGTCGCCGATATCACCTTCACCTGTCACGCCTACTTCGTAGCTAAGGCCGTGGGCGCAAGGGCTGGTATCAATGGGCGTAGGGGGCCACCAGCATATGGGTACCTGTTCAGCGTGCCGCCGGGGGTCCACACACTGGATGTCAACTATTCGTTCTACATCAACAGCACACGGAGCCCCCTCGTTACGAACGCGACAACGGCGGGTATTCTGCAAGGGTATCTCACGACATTCGCAGAGACAGGGGACCCCAACCGTGAGAGTCTGCCCGCGTTCCCCATTTACGGTGCTAAGAATACGAATCTGAATCTGAACGCGACGTTCGTGGGTGTAATCAAGGACCCGGCTGCTAATTCGAGGTGTGATTGGTGGGGTGAGGCTTCATATTCTTGATTGCTGTTGGTGGAACGTAATATGAGACTGTGGCTCATCATGTAAATATAGAATGAGAGAATTCGTTTGTAGTTACACAAAATTGAATTCTGAGTGATTTGAAACCACGGGTCGTCCGAGTCGAGGCTGGTAAGGCCCCATGCGCTTCCGTTTACGCAGACAGGTATTGACGAGGATAACCATTACCTAGGTAGGTTTCCAGGTTGAGGTTATTGCTTTTACAACTACTGCAAACGCCTCTCCAAATGTATTTCACGTGGGAGCAAGTACTTGATGTACATCTCGTGCTGAACAAATTTCAGGGTGGTCAATATGGCCCAGACCCAAGTAATTGATCAGAATGTAGACAGTCGCGACTGCTAGGTGTTGGGCACATTTCGTGGATACCCAACGAGCGGGAAGTCACAGTTTCCGAAACACCTCATGTGCCCAGGTGGCCTTGAAGCCATTGTGTTGAATACTTGGGACCCCACCAGAGTTGAGGTCTGCCTAGAATTTGTCTCAGCCGTTGGTTCACACAGAGCTGTGAAAGGAACCTTTGAGAGAGACTTTTCCCTTCTTCTTCATCTTTTCCTCTAAGATCAACTTTTTGATTTTCTTTCTGCTTTCTTCAACTTTCACTCTCTTGCCCATCTCTGCTCTTCCATGTCAGCATTGCAACACCACGAAGCTATGGGGATCGCGGATAATCTTGGCCTGAGGGCACTGATATCAGCCTGCAAATTCTGTCCTTTCCAAATCTGCGACTGCGCGGATGACCTGAGCAAAGTCCGCGAATCGGTCTTCGACTTTCTTGACCCGGCACATGCAAACCAGGTTGACCAGAATACATTCAATGCGATCTGTCACGACCTCGACAAGCATCCTCATTCCCACAGCTTCCCGACCATCAGTCCAGATGAGGAAAAGCAGCGAGACGATGGCGTATTTGAAAGCTCCGTGGACGCTGCCTTCAACGTCAGTCATTTCCTAAACCTTCAACCTCGCCTCGGTTCAACAGAGATCAAGATTCAGCAAAACCCGATATGAGAGCCCTGCTAATTTCATTCCGAGACAGATCTTCCGTGAGATGGAGCGAGATTTCCTACTGAAAGTACCAGTCGGACCACTTCGCCACGACGATACCACTACAAAGTACTGGTGGGATGGCGCCGCACACCTTCGCCACCATGTGGAGTTTCTTCTCGTATTGAAGGGTGTCAAGCCCTGCGTGCTGTTTTCCAAAAACAAACCTGAGCACACTTCGGTCTTCAGCTCCGTCGTCATGGACATCCTCATCCCTGTTATGAACCACATGCAACTATGGTCTTACGGATTCAAGATCAGCTTTGAGTGCCTCGAGTGGGTGTTCTACGATGCTCGATCACCCCTTCTCCCCCAAATCACGAAGATCTTCCTCACCGACCACACTTCGAAGAAGGTGGACAGGACTGGTGCATATCCCGCCAAGGACTCGGACAAGCCCTACCTCGTCCCCCACCTGGAGGTCGCCCAAGCACTCGCATACCCAATCCGCTCCGACCATTTCGACAGTGATTGCTACGTCAACATCCAAGATGCGACTGAGATGGATGTCTTGGAATGTATGGGCCGGCCCCGTCCCCACTGTTGTGTCTACGGGATGGGATTTGGTAGCCCTGTTGGCAACGAAGACGACTGGATGAAGATTCTCACGCACTACCACAAGTGCGCGGAGACAGCGCGGAAATTTGGCACCGACCTTCGTCTTGTTCTGAAACATGAAAAGATGACCGCCTGGTTGACGAGCAACCCGGGATGGCTCGTCGGGCCAGTCCCGTGGGTTGGAAGAAGTGGGCCGAAGTTGCAGGAGATTTCGGACAAGCCGTAGATCGGGGAAGCTCTCCCTGATGGGATCAGAGCCACAAGGAAAAGCGCGGAAACTGCCATGATGGACATTGTGAGATTTTGAATTGCACATGGTCTGTTTCGGAAAGAAAAAAGTAAACAAGCAAGACTCCGGTCAATTCTAGGCTGAAAATGTCAACGGCCTCATAGATTGCAGCGAGGTGCGCGCAGCGCCCTCGGGGCAACCACCCACCTGCAGTCAGCGGCAGCCTGATGAAAGCATAACAGTCCTTAGACGGTGAATTTAACTAGAAGGTGCCCTAGAAGCTCCCAATGTGTCTCACTGTGAGCAGTCAAGTCTAGTGTTGTTGAAAAGCGGCCTTTACTCTGGGTGCTTTGTGACACGGCTGCAAAGCTTGTAACGTTTGGGAGGCTGTGTGTGTGCATCGCCCTGAACGTTGATCCCATCAAGCGACAGTGTAATTACTCATATTACTAGTATGCTTCCGCTTTTGGAACAATGGTGGATAATCGAAGGGAAAGTGTCCTTTGATTGAATAAGTAGATGCTGTAGGACAGTCCTGTGTAGCGATTACAAGTTGTAAGTCGACCCTGCTCCCACACCACTGGCAATCAGTGCGGAACTCCCATATTGGCCAACCCAACACAGTGCTTTCTCCACACTAATACCACCTCTGCTTATCATCCTGACACCGTATGAAGGCGCCATGTATGTCCTCGGACGTATACGGAATAGAAGCGAAACCACATTTGATGGAAAGTAAACTCCCCTCCGAGCGGCGGTGCCCACCAGCGGTATCTGACTTTTTACTTCATGACTTTTTACTTTAAATGTTCGTCAAATTTTGAAAGCTAAACGCCAGAGAGATGTTTGGGCGCCTGGCAAGATCATCCTCCTGGAGCCCGATTACCGGGATCGATTCTGTCGGCACCGGCGTTCCAGAACGATAGAGACTAACTTGGACTGCTTCGTAAGGGGCAAGGATTCATCCAGGAACCATACTGACAGTGATATCATGGATTGCCCTTACCAGTTCCTGACCCCCACTGTCTTCCCCACGGGGCTCCAGCACTAAGCGCTGAGTTTAAATCCCCACGGGGCTGGTGGCCCGGAATGCTGTGTGTTAAATACCCGCCGCTTGCCTGCTCAGGAATTTGCGGGTCCTTGGCGCTCTATCTATTGGAATTACCAGTTTTACAAAATATTTCAAGGAAATTCCACGAGTACTCAACCGACAATGGGTGAACTCCAAGGACGGCCGTTGATCCTCACTGTCAGCGTGCTGACCTCGTTGGGCTTCATGCTCATCGGGTTTGACAATGGGTTGATGGGCGGACTTGGTAAGAGAGCGCCATGTCCCTCCCTGTCTTATCGTGCTGCGAGGCTGATATCTTCTGAACAGTAAATACGCCTTCGTTTAACCTGACCTTCAACTCTCCCGACTCGACTATGACCGGATTAATTGTTGCCATTTACGAGAGTGAGTAATGTCACTACTCTGTTCTCATTACGCGTTCTCGAGTGTTATTTTACTGATAAGCAACAATGACCAAAAGTCGGTTGTTTCATCGGGTCTGTGACAACGGCATTTGTAGGAGAGAGGTTGGGTCGCCGTAAGACCGTTGCTATCGGCTGCGCAATCATGGTCGTCGGCGCTGTTTTACAAGCTTCTTCATACACCCGAGCTCAAATGATCGTGGGTCGAGTGGTGTCGGGCGTTGGGATGGGAATGATTAACTCCACCGTCCCCGTGATCCAGGCAGAGTTTAGCCCCAAATCAAGCCGTGGTATCTGTAAGTCTCGTTCTCAATTCTTCCGAGTTCTCCAATATGTCTCTTCCACATTAAAGCTTTCCATTCTTCATGCCACCCTCCCTTTTCTTCCATCTCATCGGATTTTGCACTCTGAGAATGACCCTAATGATATCGGGACAGATGTCTGCGCTCAGCTTTCCACTCTCAACTTCGGTATTTTCCTCGTCCACTGGATCGACTACGCCTTCTCGAGCCACACAGCAAGCTACGCCTGGAGGATTCCGGTGATACTCCAATGCATATGCATCATTCCGATGTTCTTCATCCTTCTCATCATACCCGAGACCCCACGATGGCTTGCGGCACACGACAAACCCGAAGAGTGCTACGCCGTCCTTAAGCGTATCAAGGGAGCCGACGATGGCGATGAGCAAGATATCCAACGCCTCCATGGTGCGATCCTTGAGACTGTAGCATATGAGGCCTCCATTGGTGCTGGTTCCTGGAAAGATGTTTTGAAAGAGGATAGTATCAAGAGCCGTAGGAGGCTCCTGATCGCTTGCGGTATTCAGGCCTTCCAGCAGCTTGGTGGTATCAACGCAATCATTTGTGAGTTAGATGATTCAGTCCGACATCCATCATGGTCTTGCTTACACTGTGTTATTTTGAACAGACTACAGCGGAACTCTGTTTCAGAAGAGCGTCGGATTCAGCAGCAATATGTCTGCTCTCATGTCTGGCTTCTTGCAGACTTGGTTCTTCGTCGCGTCGTTTATCCCTTGGTTCCTTATTGACCGAGTCGGCAGACGTCCCCTGGTAAGCGGCCTTTCCTCGGTTATTGGTAACCTCGGCTTCGGCCATCGTAACGTATGTCGTGTGCTCATACTACCATATATCAGCTCCTCTCGATGATCAGTCTCATGGCTGCCGTCATGGTGGTCCAGTCAGCTCTGATATACCAAGTTGAGAACGCAACAGCAATTGCTCGTGCAGCTGGTATTGGTGCTGCGGCAATGCTATTCGTCTTCCAAGGGGCTTTTACAGTTGGGTTCCAAGCAACGGTTTGGGTTTATCCGTAAGTGATTAATCAGGACCGGCGAACTTGATTTTGACGGCGTTTCTGTACCACATACATAGTACTCTACTAACTGGGAGAAGATCCGAGATTCTCCCCTTACGCCTGCGACAGCGAGGATCGTCGATATCGACGGCATCGAATTGGATTTTCAATTATGTAAGACCAACCTTCTATGGTCAGGTTGGTCCGCTGGCTGACCAAATTGCGACAGATGATTGTGCAAATTACCCCTATCGCCATCACCAACATTGGGTGGAGAACTTACATCATATTCGCGACTCTGAATGCTTCATTTGTCCCGATTATTTATTTATTTTTCCCTGAGACGAAAGGCCTGGAACTGGAAGACATGGACCGTGTTTTCGCTACGGATGGCGCACCATTCTTGCACGAGGACAAGGCGGATGACACCCAGATTGAAGATGTCCACACATATGGGAAAGTCTGAAGAGAGGAAGCCGATCTTGTGCTCTACGAAGCATCCGACTTTGATCGGAGACTGCTTTGGATTGTACTCCATTTCTCAGATAGATGTCTAAACCTTGTCGTGGCCTCGCAGCTGAAACCTTGTTAAACACCGAATAAGAATGATCACTGTTTTTTCTTGTCTCAACAGCCGCATCACCCCAGAGAGGCGTAACCATTTGAGTGAAACTGTTACGCGCCATTAAAATTATTATGACTCACAAGCGCGGAATGTGTGGGATGTTGTCAAAGCACACTTGAACGACCGTCGGGCAATAGCCGCGAGCACATAAGGAGACTGCGAGGCTCGGCAATTTACCGCAGCGATGGTCGGCCATTTTCCGTTGCGATGCCGATGGGCATTTGGCGTTTTGCCTATGGATTAGCGCGGAGGCAATCGTCGTTCATCGTTCAGAACCTGCTCGTGGGCTTGTTTAGTTGCCGGCTATCGCAGACTGTTCTGGATTGTGGAGATCTTCCCCGCATCGTGCCGATTATTAGCCGGGGATTTGCTCCGCGTGCTCAACGTTCGCGAAAAGGTATCACAGCCGCAGCTCGATCCGGCCAGGAGAGAACGCAGCTGCGCAATTGTGATATTGTTTCCATACCCACGAGGACCCTTTTTCTTTTACTCATCTCAGAGATGACGTCTTCAGAATCCTTTCTTGTGCACCAAAAGGCCGTGCAAGATCTTTTTGGCCCGTCGCCTGAGCTGACCTTGCTATGTGAAAATCCCGACTACCCCTTCGCTCACGAGGCTGGCGTGTTCATCGAGAAGGACAATAGTCTCATAATCACGAGCAACCAATTCACCGACCTAAAAACCGGTGACCGCAAGATCCAGATAACCAGAGTTCACCTCCCTCACGATGGCAGCTCAGGAGCGAGGTGCGAAGAAGTCAATCCAGTCGGGGTACCAATGGGAAATGGTGGTGTCAACTATCAAAACGGCACCTTGATCTGCGCACAAGGGACAAAAAGCGAACCTGGCGGAATTGTGTATATGGACTCAGAGCCGCCGTATAATACCCGCAGTATAATAAGCGCTTTCCATGGCCGGGAGTTTAACTCGGTCAACGATGTCGTTGTGCACTCGGACGGTTCGATCTGGTTCACGGACCCAATCTACGGATTCGAGCAGGGCATACGTCGCCCTCCTCAGCTACCTAGCCAGGTGTATAGGTATCACCCAGGTAGCGGGTCCATAAGAGCGGTGGCGGATGGGTTTGGTCGACCGAACGGGATCTGCTTCAGCCCCGATGAGAGGATTGTCTATGTCACTGATACGGATTTCATCCATGGCGATGGGACCACGGACCTTACAAGAGCTTCAACAATGTGAGTACCCACAGGTTTCTTCTTCTTACAGAAGAAAGTGTATGACCTGACAGACGACGACAGTTACGCTTTCGACGTCACCGTATATTCCGATGAACCGTTCCTCACGAACCGACGGCTTTTCGCAATGGCTGACAACGGTGTGCCGGATGGGATTAAGTGTGACGTTCATGGAAACGTATACAGCGGTTGCGGAGATGGAGTCAATATCTGGTCGCCGGGGGGTGTCTTGCTCGGCAAAATTCTTGTCGATGGTGGTGCTGCCAATTTCTGTTTTGGTAAAGACGGTGAAATGTTCATTCTGAATGAGCACAGGCTGTGGAGGGCGAAGCTTGCAACAACAACGAAAGGCGCTTTGCTTAATATCTAGAACATCAGAAATTCGCACCCGCAAAAATAGGGGTTGCACCTGAATAGGGCTTACTACTTACTTACCCAGGTACCTACCTAGGCAAGTAGAGAAAGCAAATAAGACATAGGGAATATACATGACAACTTAGAAATCAACGTTCTGAGAGTAACAAGAAGCGGGTTAATTTAAGAGAGGTTCTCCTATTTGCCTTGGGCATGCCCTACGCTTTTGTGGGTGCCAACCTCAGATCTCAATATAGACAAGCGGCGCCTTGAGAGATAAATAAAGCTGCTGAGGTGAAGGTTGCTTCCCTAGGTAGTGCTAGCACATTATGTGCATGGGCAAAAGAACGGAATTTCGAATGTCATAATTTGGAATGTCTCTCTAGTTGAAAAGCACTTGGACTCACCAAGGTCACATGCTTGTGATTGAAGAGATATCTTCTCCAGTCGAGAACCGCTTGCTAGAGTACTTACCTAGGTCGAAACAATGAAGTCAACAGATTCGCACGCACGCGAGGCACGTGATATTCCGCGTATGGTTGAAAGAGCGCAATGAATAAGTGAAAAAGCTTCGGTAGGGAGAAAAAGGGGCCATTGGAAGGCCGTAGTAAAGACTTTTGGCTCGACTGCCTGCGACGTCGCAACCCCACGGATGTCAAATCGAGAGGCCAAATGGCCTCCTCATCGCGCACCATGTTGCAGCATATTCAGCAGGCAGCGAGTGCAACAATCTACTTCAGGCAATTGATAACGTCAATTTTGATGACTGAAGCCGGATCAGTAAGTGCCATGCAAAAGAGTGGATTTGATCGCTGTGTCATTTGCACCCGCTGCCTGCTGACGCCAAGGGGCGGCCAGTGTCAGGCCAACATCCCCCAAGCTTTGCGGCACATACGGCGCGACCTGATACGCCGACCTCAACATAAATTACCATGCTTACTCCAGGTAGCCCCAAATGAGGCCCATTTGAAGGGAAGAGTCCAGACTCTGAGAACAAGCTCCAGGCCGCACTACAGGCCCGGGGCAACTTCAGGTTCCGTCTCTGCCCCCTGCACCCGAGATGTCGGCCAGTGTTCACACCCGTTTGATACTCTCTCTTCAGACGTCTTGCTGCGTCGCGCAAAGCATATTGCGGGTGCTGCATCGGCCTCATGACGTCTTTACGGAGAGGTGACCTTCTTCTACTATCTGGGACACTGAATTCTCCACCAAATTCGGGGGCCATTCTGTATATATAATTCCTGTGCTCTGTTCCACTTGTCCACTCACACTTTCTCATCATCATCATCCAACCACAGCTTCACCAACAACAACAAACCAGTCTATCATTCACTAGTGAGACCCGGCGTCCACACACACTTTACTCTAACACCCTAATTTATATTCCACAACCACACCTTTTCAACCCACCCCACCAATCAAAATGGTCTCTTACCGCATCATCACCGTCCTCGCCCTGGCCGCCGCCGGAGTCATCGCCGCTCCCTGTGATGCTGGCAACGGAGCGGCCGCCACTGGAGTCGCAAACGCCCAGGGCGCCCAGGCCACAGGAGCCGCTGGCAATGCTCAGGCAACAGGGGGTGCCGGTAACGCACAGGGCGGCAATGCCGGTGGAGCTGGCGGTAACGCAGGAGGCGCTGCTGCTGCTGGTGGCAACGACGCGGCCTGCAACCCTGCAAACGTCGCTGACGGACAGGGACCTGCCAACGTTGGCGTCGACGGTGCCCAATTCGTGACTGGCATCTGCACCAGCGACGCCAACTGTGCCTCGGGCTGCTGTGTCCTGGGTGGCGGCAAGAACCCCGACGTCGCTGTCTGCCGTAACGAGCCTGCCCTTCAGGCTGGCGAGAGCTGTGGCTTCAGCTGCGCCGCCTAAGCTCAGCTTCTTCGGAGACTATCAGGGCTCTCAACTTCTGGCTGTCGGTATCATCTTAGGAGCGAATTGCCAAATCCAACATGAGTCGTTCAGGAAATGACTTGGGGGCTGGTTGTATGGGAATTCTTGCCTGGGGACATCGGGTGTTGGTTGGGCAAGGTTTTGCCAATTACGATCGTTACCATGGATGGACATGCGGCAATCATATAGATCAGCCTATAGAGTCAATTACTAAGCTAATCACAATCGATGGACTGGAAATTGCTTTTCACACACAGCTTCCTTGGTGAAATTGACAGTGTGCTCTTGTTGAATCCGAGACTTGAACTGCATTTATCGCGCGACACGAGTTCTGCAACATCGAGGGAGTACTTGTATTTGTGCTCCATTCAACTGTAAAGCTGCATGTGCCAGGGACAAATTATTCGAGTAGACCCGGACTGCCATTTTACGGGATCGCCTGAGGAGAACCATTGGTGCATCAAAATCAGAGCATGGATGATAATACTGTTCATCTCCATCTCCAATCCTGATGGGCGCCCGGAATGTAAAGCATCTGCACTATACAAGTAATGATTCATTCTCTTGCAGTAAATAACCGAATTTTTATCTCGTCGGGGGATACGTGTTCAGCAGAGGAGTAACTCCAATCTGGTGTCATGAATCGGGCCCTTTGGACAAATTTTGTTCCTCTGTTTGTTCCCAGCGATGCAAGAAAGGACAATGCCGAGGGGCAATCCACGGAAACATATGTTGTGGCTCTTGCGGGCAATATAACTCTAGATTGCTAATCATTTGGCTCGTTGCGGGAAAGCTTTCGGAAGCTGATTTGTTGGGACAGGCCAAGCTGCTCATGGATCTCCATTTTGCCGGAATGTGTCTTACCTCAGTGAGGCGATTCGGCACTTGTATTGCTATCCGAAAAGAAGGCACGATAATAAAAGAGCCTTCTTGTCTTCTTAGAAGAATAGATGGTTCTTCGGAGTCTTCGTCAGAAACTGTCAGTCTGGCCCAAACACAGAGCCAACCTACATCATGGTTCGCCTTCCAGAATACGTCGTTGCCAGCAACCTGTTCTTGGCCGTGCTCGGTGCAGAATGTAACCAGACACGGCTGCTACAATTTGCCCACGGTCTAGTCGACGCGCAGAATGTTGGATCTCTCGGCAATTTGCAGGGCGCCGACCCTCACAACCTCACCTACATAGAGAACAACCAAACAATGCAAATGACTAGCGGAGTTTTCGCGCACGCGATACACGTGGACCACAACCGTACCATCACAGACCTCACAGATTGTGCATCATACACGGAAATGATCATGACCGACCGTGCCTCTCCCCATGTCGTGGGCACACAGGTCCGCCACGACCCGGACAACGATATGCTCGTCTACCTGGTTGACTCTGTCGTCTCAACCACGGGGTCCTGGCTCTTCAACGCCAGCAAGACGCTCGAGTGGGTCCTGAAGGAGGACTGGAGCATCATACCGGCCGGCGAGCGAGACACCCGTGAGGCACTCAAGAATGCCGCAGACGCCTATCTGGACATGTGGAACAACAAGAGCGCGATCGACGCTGTCCCCTGGGGCACGCCGTGCGCCCGGCTTGAGGGCTCAGCGTACACCGGCAACGGGTCTCCTACCGACAGCTGCAAGCCCGGGATACCGACCAACAATAATCAGGCACCAAACATCAATAGGCGCTACGTTATTGATGAGTCATATGGATCGGTGGATGTGATCAACATCTTCCAGCACTTGAGTAACGCTCCGGACAGCCATGAGTTCCGCATGGTTAAGGGGAAGCTTCGGTACATCCACACTATGACAATTGCATCAAGTGGGAAAAGGTCAGTTGCGGTGTGATTTCGGGTGTCCAGAACCGAAGTATTTGAAGTCATGGAGGTGGCAGGCAAATCGTTTCGCACATGAATAAAGAATTACCCGGTAGGGAAAAGTGTGCTCAATATTTGAATTCATACACTTTATGACCGAGATGAGCACAGGATTCTCTACCAAAAATAAAATGACACTTAGAGACCCCCATGGTATTTACAAACTTTCTGTGCACAGCTTCGGGACCCTTGGGTTGCCCAACAAGTACAGGTACTAAGTCGGCTGACGGAGTTCAGGGGCGTTGCATCAGGAGTGTTTCCCCAATGCATGGTCGGCCACGAGAATAACCCGCGGGCGGAGCATGTCAGCTCATAATACCTCAGCATTGATGAGGCCTCCTCACTCTAGTGTCCAAGCGAGCATTTTGCCCAAGGAGCGAGCGCATCATTATGTATTCCTTGAGAGTCATCCACGGCTTCGCTCGACTCCCGGTACATCATTTTGTAGGGGAGACTACTGTCGGCAAACTCCAGCGCGCAAGATAAATTCGTAGAACCCAGGACCCCGATTCGGACACAATGGTGGACGGGGTTCGGCTGCAGATGGCACCCTCTGGTCCGCCTGCAGTGACACCAAGCCTCGGTCGCCGTTCGACTTCTGCCTAGATGCTAAGGTACCTAGGTGGGTGTGCATGGATTTATTGAGCCCACCTCCGATTCCCATCAACATATATCAACAGGCGCCGCAAGTGGCGTCACACATTTCGGCACATGTCTGTGTCAGACACGCTTTCAATAGTCAATGTCGTGTTACCACACAGCCAATAACAAGAAATAGCTCAAGTATCACTACCTATCATTGCTTAACGAGGTGGGTTAGACAACCCCTTCACACATAGAACACCTAGTACCTAGTATTTCATAATTAAAAAGCATCTTTTTATTCAATTATTTTGAAAAAGCGTTTATATTTTAAATAAATGTGAGATATATTAATTAACTATTAGTATTTAATTCCTAATCTCTTTAAAGTTTAGATTAAAGAAACTAAACTACTACTAGTATAAGTGTGACTGCTAAAAGACGAGAATTTCTAAAAAAAAACAAGTTAGATTTCATAGCAGTATTTAAAACTCGTACCCTCACGGTCATCATAACCATTGACACACAGGAAATCACTAGTTGGCACCCTCATCACTGGGACGTCCACAATGTCTGATATTTATAATGACAACATGGTTCGCAACGAATCAGAAGCTCAACGGTAGGGTCTACACTCATTCTAGATCGCGGCAAACACTCTTAAAACCCCAGTCCTGAGCTTGCGGCTAACTATGATGTTGCCAGATTGGATGAGCAATTTGACCTCCTTACGATGTTTGCAATCCCTCCACTTTTACTAACTTGTGGGGTCATACTGCGGCTGAATGGACGCACACAGGAACATTGGCTATCTCATCCACCCTGAAGTTGCCGCGTCCCTCCCGCCCAATCCACGAGTTGCAGATATCGGGACAGGAACCGGCCACTATCTTGAGTGCTTCTGGGACCTGGCATCCTATCCTGGGGCGACGCTCGACGGTTACGACATATCCTCGACTATGTTCAAGACGACTGCGAGAGGAAGTCCGTCGCTCAACGTGCTCGACATCAAACAGCCCGTCCCAGTGGAACTTCATGCAACGTACGACCTCGTACACGTGCGTATTCTGGTCGCAGCCATGCTCCCAGGCGACTGGCCCGGCGTCGTCAGCAACGTTGCCCGACTGGTCAAGCCCGGTGGCTGGGTGCAGTGGGAGGAGTGTGATATGGCCGGGACCAAGTATCTGAGGGGCGGGGAGGCGTCAAAGGTGGATGCAGTGCGCCAGATAGGGAGGATGTTCCTTGATGCGTTGCACGAAAACCTCAGCCACGGCTGGAATACGCTTTCCGATGACATGCGGGCCGCTGGGTTGATGCCCATCCCTATTGACTGCGTGAGCACCGATAGACTTCCCAACACGAGAGCTAAAATGACAGCTAATGGTATGAGGGCCGTCATTTCATGGATTCGCAAGACAGGAGCGATTAGGAATGAGGAGTTGGAGCAGATAGAGAGACAGGTGTATGAGAACATAAGGTCTGGCTGCTATTGCAGATTCGAGGTTTATGTCCATTGCGGCCAGAAGCTCTGAGAAGGAAAAGCACGTTGGCAAAGGCACAGCGTAATCGACGAAAGAGTTGTTCCGCCAACAATGTTATTCCGATATATCGAGTAATAACAATGGTCTCACTGGCTATCCACAAATTCAACTTTGAATCCACCAGGGCAAAGCCGCTGGAATACACCCTCCGGGTCGTACTTCTTTGCGACATCCCTGATCCTGCTAACATTCTCAGGTCCGTAGCTCTCAAACACCTCCTGGCTACTATGGGCGTAATTGAGATAGATCCAAGGGCAGAGACGATCGTCTCCAGCGAAATCTCTGACGGCGCTCACGAGACCTTCCACGCGGGGACGCACCCATTCGGCCAACTCAGCCGTCTTGACGCTTGCACTCGCCTGTAGCAGGATGGCGTCATGCGGGTAGGCGTCAAGACCCAGAATATTACCGCCTGACTCCAGAGACCTTTCAGTATAAAGACGGGGAATTGGCTGAAATGCACAGTGCGTGTTGAACTCGTTGCTTGGGATGTGCCCCTGGAGGTCTCTTGCTAGTTGGTAGAGTAGCTCGGAGGCCTTGGCAACAATGCTGGCGTCATTCTTGAAAGTCAGGGTGTACCAAATGTTGCTGTTACTGCAATCAATATGAAGTCCTCCTGAAAGCTGCATGTGGAAACCTTGACGGTGATAAGTGGGAAGGGGGACGGTGGCCTCCTTACTAGTAGCCCAGAGGCAGCTCCGAGAATGGAAGCATGTCTTGTAACTTCCCAGTCTTGTAGCTACTGAAAGTCTCAGGCAAAGACATGAAATCGTCAAAAGCTTTGGGCTTTTCCACCCCGGCTGTGTTGAAACACATCGTCAGAAACCCGTCTCCACCCAAGTCGGGTTTATAGATTGCAACAAAGATGACGCTGCTTGCAAGGTCGTCGACAACCTTCGCAGTGAAGCTTTCCAATGCCTCCGAAGCTTGTGGCACAATATCAGCAGGTCTCAATGCTACGCCGCCCCACAGTGGGCCTCGTATAGGGTATGTCTTGATGGCAAAGCGTGTTACAATGCCAAAGCTGTTGCTGCCCCCCTTGAGGGCTTGGAAGAGGTCCCCATTTTCTTGTTTGTTCGCATGGATGATCTTGCCGTTGCTCAAAGCGACGTCGTAGCCTGCGATCTGGTCGCAGGCAAATCCGCAGTGACCAGAGTAGTATGACAGCCCACCTCCGAGTAGGAAGCCGCCGACGCCTAAATTGCCCACCCGCGCCCCACCGATGAAACGTCCATGATTCTCCAGCTCGTCGTATACGTTCTGCCTATTTTAATACGTGGTTGGAAACGGAAAGGCATGTACGAAAGGGTGTTCTTAAGGTATCGCATGCCTTATAAAAGGGGATGGAAGTGGGGATGACGGAACAGGCCAAGGAGACTGTCAGACGAACCACTTGGCACCGGGACCCAAGAACGCCGTCTCGGTCTCATGGTTGTAGTCGACAAATGCTAGGAGACCCAGGTCGATAGTGATTCCGCCGTCGATGTTGTTGCTGCCGACCCTGTTGGTATAACCACCGGCTCGGACAGCAAAGGCCTGGCCGGCGTTGGAAAGGGCATTGAGAGCCGTAGCCACGTCGGCTCCAGTTCTCGGCTGGACTATGCATGTCGGTCGGAGCTTCGAGCCGTTGTCGAAATAGGATTCATTCCGGGTTACATACTCAGAGTCAGTGGGAAAGAGGAGCTGGTCTGAAAGTCCAGCTGCGACGAGGCATTCCGCCTGTGGAGGTGGGTCCATGACAGTGTTTGCAGGTGCTGGTTATTTTGATGTAGAGGAAAGTCCTTACAAGGCCCCACGAAGGGAAAATGTGCTAGCACGTCGCGGGACTAATTCGTGTACAGGATGAAGCAGTGGATAAGATCCTCAAAGACGTCATATATTTAAGTTGTGGAGGGAAGAAGGTGTATTGAACTTGTCCAAGGTCCAAGCATGTCTGTAAAAAGTTCTCCAGCCTCGTAGCCGTTTTATAACCTCTCGAGCACGCTCTGAAATCAGGGTTAGGGGAGCGTCCTCCACACAAGTACACAGCAGCCCTTTCCTCTTTCCTGGGTTCTTTTGTTTGTTTCCTCCTTGACGAGGCCGGGGGAGACGGCGGTCTATGTAGCCTCACGCGTCTGGTGTCGTACAAGTCGGCACCCTCAGAACGAGGCTCTTTTAGCCCCCAAGAGTAACTCCGGGCTGACTTTAGTAACGTTTCACAGCATGCTGCATAGTACCTAGGTATGAAGCATGTGGCGGAGCTACTGTCATACAAGTCGTTCACCCCCACCCAAGATAAAGCTCTGTTGGCCCCCAAGAGTAACGTCGAGCTAGCTTCGAATACTGTTTCACGGCATGGTGATGTGGTATCTCATGCTCTATGGTCGTCACTTTCTGTGGTTACATCGGGTACTAATAGAGCAACAACTCCTATAACGTCCCCAGCCTACATTCTAATAGTCCCCTAAATCTAATTACCCTATATCTATATTTATATATATATATATCTATCCTTACTCTATTTATACCTCTTTATAACTTTATAAGGAATTTTTTTTTAATTATTAAACTTTTTTTAAATATTATTTTAATTATTATAAAGAAATATAAAAAAAAGAATTTATAATATATTTATAATAGTTAAAAATAAAATATTTATATAAAAAGCTTTTAAAACTTAATATATTTTATATATTATATTTTAGAACTATTCTTCTAATATATAAAGTAAATTTATTATTTATAAATTTTATTAATTTTTTTTAATATTTTAAAAATTAATTAATATTATTTTAATTAATTAAAATAGTTTAAAATGTATTTTAATTTATTAGAAAATATAGACTTTAATAGATTAAATAACCTTTTCCTCCTTTAATACCCCTTTATTAAAAAGAAAGTAGTTAAAAGCTTTTTTAATTTATTATTTTATTTTTAAAAGTTATAAATATTAATAAATTATAATAAAATAATTAAAAATAATAATAAAAATATATTTATATAGTTTAATTTAATATAATTTTTATTATAAAGATTATTAAATTGATTAATTATTAAAATATTAATAAAAAGGATTAATAAAAAAGTTTAAAATAATATTTATAATTAATTATTTAAAAGGTAGTAAGTTACTTTAAAAGGACTTTAATTTATATATATAAACCTTTTTATAAAGTATATATTTATTATAGGTAAGTTTTTAAACTTTTTATTATTTTTAAAAATTAAATATATAATAATAATAGTTTTTATAATTTTTAAAAATTATATAAGTTAATAGTTTATAATAATAAAAAAGATTAAATAAAAGAGTTTATTATAATTGAATAATTAAAAAGAATTTTTGAATTATATTAAAGAATTTATTTAAATAATATTTTTATAATTAATAAATATTATATATATATTATAATTAACTTTATATAAAAATACTTTTAAATAATATTTATATTATTTTTTATTAGCTATTAGTTTATATATACTTTAACTATTGAATATATTAATTTTTAATTTATTTAAAATTATTTTTAAAAATATTTATAATATTAAAGTAATTATAATTCTTTATTAATAATTATAAAAAAGGTTTTTATTATTATTATAAAGTATATATTAAAACCCTTATAAAATTAAATATTTAATTCAAATAATAAATAACTAATTTATAGTTACTTTTAAATATAAAGCTTTTAATATATACTTTATTAAAAATTAATAGATTATTAAAATAAAAATATAAAAAAGCTATTATTAAATAAAATAATATATATTTTTATATTAAATAATATTTTATTAATTTTAAAAATTATTTTAAAATTCTTAAATAATTATAAAAATTATATAATATAATAATTAAATATATTTATAATAAATATTTCAACTCTATATAATAACTTTTTTATAAAATTTTAAAAGTTAAAATTAAAAGATATTAATTTAATAATATTTATAAAAAAATTAAAAATTAAAATATTAATTAAAAGTTAATAAAATAACTTAAAAAGTTTAACTTAATTTAAATAAATTATTTATAAATATTAAAATAATTTAATAAACTTAAATTAAAATTAAATAAATATTTAAGGAAAGTAATAAAAATAATTAATTAAAAACTTTAATTATTAAAAAGGATAAAATTATAATAATAATATAAATAGAGTTAAGGTAAAAAAATAGTTAAAGAAGAAAGTAGTTAGATTTAGGGGACTATTAGAATGTGGGCTGGGGATGTTAATTGATCCTAAATGTATCTGCAACTTCCAAGTCACTTACCGCATACCTAAGTACTGTGCATACTGCAGACAGCTCTCGGCCACTTATCACACTAGAAAAACGGTACTGGCAGCCTATTTTCTAGCCGGTGGTCTGCCCGGGTGAGCTGTCGATTTTGACACAACTCGGCACTCCTCACCACAATGACAGACAAATGAGGAGAGGAGGGGTAGTTGTTTAGTTTAAATAAGTTCTATGAAATAATTAGAATAATATACTTATATTATTAAATGTTATTTTTATATATAATATTCTATTATATAATTATTATATTTTATAATATTAATATTAATTAGTAATAATTTTATATTTAAAAACTTAAAGTATAATATTATAATTTAATTATAAACTTTAAATATTAAAACTTAATAAAAGATTTAATTTATTATTTATAAAATATTACTTTTTTATAAATTATAATTATATATATTTAATATAAGTTAATATTTACTTATTTAATAATTATATTTACTTATCTAGTTTTTTATTAATTACTTACTTAATATAAGAATTTATATATAGAGCCTATATAAAACTATATACCTAATTAGAATTCTTTAAATTTTTAATACTTTTAGTATAAACCCCTTCTAACACTTTTTTTAGTACCCTTTTTAACACCCTTTTTAGCACTCCTTCTAATACCCCTTCTAATACCCCTTCTAACACTCTTTTTAATATACCTTCTAGTATACCTTTTAGACTATATATATTTAAGTATTAACTAAGTATTTAAATATTAACTAAATATTAAAAGGTTAGAAGTTTAAAGTATTAAAGAGTTAAAAGGGGTATTAAAAGGTTAAAAAGAGTATAGTTTTTATTTTTACCTTTTTAATTTTTAGTCTTTTAGTATTTAATTAGTATTTAAATATTTAATTAGTACTTAAATATATATAACTTAAATAGTAAAGGTGAAAGTAAAGGTAAAGGTGAAGGTAAAAGTAAAGGGGTGCTAAAAGGGGTGCTAAAAGGGGTTTATATTAAAAATATTAAAAATTAGAGAAGGAAATTATATTATAAGGTTTTTTAATACTAATTTAAAAGGTATTTATAAATATAAGGGAGTTATTTAGAAAAATTAGTATTAGGTAAGTAGTTAGTAGGAATTAGGTAAGTAGATATAATTATTAGATAAGTAGATATTAATTTATTTAATATTGCTTTATAATTAATATTAATATTAAAAGTTTATTATATTAACTTTTTTATTTTAACTTTAAATATTAAAATAATAATATTTTTAAACTTTATTTATATAATATAAAACTTAAAGTATATACTTATAAATTAATTATATATTTTTAAGATTTTAGGTTCTAGGCACTTACTACTATACTATAAGGCACTATATATATTATGTATAGGGATTAGAAATGAGACTAGACGTATAAGTCTCCTGAGGTTGAACAGTGATTAGTTTTGACCCGTTGGGTCAAATTTTATGGTAGCCGCTATTGAGTTCAACTTTGCCCTTGTGACTTCTACAACCTTTCTAGATGCCCGAATCTCACCGTCACTTCAACTCAGCAAAAAGTAAAGCTCTCGAAGAAAAGAAACGAACGAGAAGAACCATCACTCGCCTTCCCGTTCCGGCTGACAAACATCGTCCAGCATGAGCCAGACCACTGTTCTCGTCACCGGGGCAAACCGAGGTAGCTCCATTCACACAAGACATTTACTCAGTATATGTAACTTATATTGAGCATTTCCAGGCATCGGCCGCGGGCTGGCGGAAGCCTTCTTGTCCCGCCCTAATCATACTGTCGTAGCCGCTGTTCGAAGCCTCGACACCACCCTCAAGGAGCAGAAGCCTGCAGCAGGAAGCAAGCTTGTGCTGGTCATCATTGAGAATACCTCGACCAGGGATCCAGACCAGGCTTTCCAAGACATGAAAGCTCAAGGCATCACTTCTCTCGATATCGTGGTCGCCAACGCTGGCATCAGCCCGGTGGTTGCACTGGTTGACGTTAAGGATATAAATGTGAACGAACTTCACCGCGTGTTTGACACGAATACTGCTTCTTTCGTTCTTCTATTCAAGTCGCTATATCCCCTGCTGAAGGCTGCAGCCGATGTGAACCCTGACGGCCATCCAAAGCTCCTTGCTATCTCATCTACTGCTGGGCAAATTGTGGACATGGAGCAGAACATTCCAGTCAAGGTTGGAACTTATGGAGTCAGCAAGGTTGCGCTGAATTACTTGGTGCGCCGCGTGCATTTCGAGAACCCCTGGCTGATCTCGTGGGTTGTGGATCCGGGATTCGTCCAAACGGACAACGGCAACGCCACGGCCAAGCTTTTCGGCATGGGAGAAGCACCACACACGATCGCACAGTCGGTTGCAGGCCTACTGGATGTCATCGATAATGCGACGAGGTCTGGGACTTCGGGTAAGTTTTATGGCTTTGACGGCAAGGAGATTGCATTCTAGATGTACAAAACACTTTGGTGGCCGCGCAAGAATGGGGCATGGGATGGCAAGTGAGGTAGACAGAACATCGGGATTGGGCTCGGGATGTCATTGAACCTCAATTTTGGTAGTAAGATAGTCAAAGGAGCCCCATGTCTTGAAAATAGCACGTACGCACACAAAAGCTCTATCTCCCCTTCCCCTCTGTCTTTTGTGTGGGTATTTACCCAATCTCTTCACTTTGACTGCCTGTATCGAGAAAAAGCAAAGAAAAGAAAAGAGCCACAGGCCGGCTATAATATAAGGATTGTGTGCAGGCCAGATTCCACAGTCACGACACGTTCGTCACCTCAAAGATGACTCACGGTGCTTTGGAGCTGCGCAAGTGAGGCACCCAGGTACCAAGGACTTATTATTCTAGAGTAGTATCCTGAGTGTACACAGAAGTGGTACTTTTGCGCAAGGATTCGATTGAAACGGTTCACGGCATCTTGCTACTGCCTTGCGAACCAAATTACTCGCCTGTCTTCCACGTCTCACGCGAGGTTTCACAGGATACCTTCCAGGTAGCATCGGAGCCACCCTCTATATTCTATCCAAAGACCTAACCAGCATTTGTGTCACCCCACGAGGCGTCACGCGGACCGGTTCACTACGAATACACCCATGTTCCACACACTGGAACACCTAAAAGCCCAATTTTGCTCTAGGTGTTTGATCTGATGTCTTTGAAATGATGACGTATTCACATGTGCCTTCGATTTCGTTGCCGGCTAGAACGATAGTGGCCTCGCTCTCGACATGCCTGGGATATCTGAACTTCAGTGGCCGGCGAGAATTACACACACTGCTTAACGTCAGGAAGACGTGCAAACGCTACTGAAACCGAGTTTGATATCATTATCGTAATAAATTTTGGTTAACACAGCAAACTCATTCTAATCGCTGTGAAGGAATATCCCTCCTAATGGCCTCTCTAATTACCCCTCTGATGACGGCTTCGACTTTTGGTATCGGCTGCGGTTTCATCATCCATCACAGTGTATTCATCCATGGTGAATGGCATGTCGAAGCCCCTCATATTGTGCTCGCGCATCTCAGTATCATCGTCTTCCTGGAAGTTCTCAATAGATATATGCAAGATACAGCGTCTGGCGCAACCGTCCAGGTCATTTCTTCTGCGTTTTGGGGCTATTTGTCCGGAATGACTCTCAGCATCATTCTTTACCGTGTTCTCTTCCACCGTCTCACCAAAGCCAAATTGCCGGGGCCTTGGTACGCCCCAATGAGCAAGATCTGGCATGTCTGGGCAGCAAGACAGGGCCAGAATCACCTCGTGTTGCATTCACTGTACAAGAGGTATGGTGATATGGTGCGTACAGGTGAGACGAAATCACACAATCTACCAACCTAGAGCTCACCGCTTCTTCATGTTCTGAATTCGGGGATCTAATAGAAAGAAATTAGGCCCCGCCGAAGTTACCGTCTTCACGCCCGATGCATTCAACGTCGTCGACGGCCCCCACTCAGATTGCATCAAATCAGAATTTTACGACCTTTTGAAGGGTATAGGATATCCTTCACTTGTCAATATTCGACATGGACCCACTCATGCTATCCGTCGCCGGGAGTGGCGTCCTGGCTTCTCGAGCCAGTCTCTTCGATTGCACTCTACCAAAGTCTCCCCCCACATCGAGCAGCTTTGCGAACTGATTGAAGATGATATTCGGTATAATCGTGTCTCAAGCATACGAGATTATATGTACTGGTTTGGCTTTGACGCCATGGGCGAATTCGTCTTCAGCAAATCCTTTGGGATGCTGCGGGCCAAAAAGCCGTCCCTCATTATTGAGCGCCTCAAGAGCGCTCTTTCCATCCTTGGTCCCTTAACACCCGCGCCTTGGCTCCTCCACGTGGGACTCCGAATTGCTCCACGTATCGGTATGGTCAAGGATTTGTTTGATATGCTTGATTGGTGCCGAGATCAAATGCAGGACAGACTGAGAACTAGCGAGTCCAAAGGGCCGGGACCAGATGGTGGCGATCTAGCCTACTACCTTATGGAAGATAGACATAACAGGAACGCGGGAATATCAGAGGGCCGAGACTGGAACCTGGCATGGCTCACCGGTGACAGTCTTCTTGCCATTGTGGCAGGCAGGTAAGCAACATAATTCTATATACTTGATGTGTGGGCCATTACCTTACCCATGGGCGTCATCAATGTGACAGTGATCCGACAACGGCGACTCTAATCGGGGCTTTCGCGGAAATGGCGAAACTCCCGGAGCAGGCAGAAAAGATCTTCAAAGAGGTGGTAGACCTTGACGAAACCGATTTCAGATCGCTTGCTACGCTTCCACACCTCAACGCCGTGATAAAAGAGGTCATGCGCTTGTACCCATCGCTGCTTAGCGCAGGGTCGAGGAAAACGTTGGAAAACTCCGTTGTAATCGGGGGCAGGTTGATACCACCTCACACTACCATTGTGTGTCCGCGATACACTATCAATAGGAGTAAGTGATGTCGCTACTGACCCAGCTTTAAGGGACGATTAGGTGCCTTCCGCTGACCAGCCGCACTGACAAGGAGAGGACTGCTTTGAAAGACCATTGGAATTTGTTCCAGAACGATGGACGACACGTCCTGAGATGGTTACAAACAGCGATGGATATACCCCTTTCGGTACAGGTAAGTATAATGATCCCGCTCCATGTTTCTCCAGTCAGCGTCTCGCTGATACCTAGGCAATCATCTAGGCAGCAGATCTTGTCTTGGCCGTTACCTTGGCGAAGATATGATGCGGAGCGTAATAGCAAGGATAGTTAAGCGTTACAGATTTCATCTAGCCCCTGGCGAGACAGGTAACCGAGTGTTGGACGAAATTGGCGACCAGTTCGTGCCGAATCCAGGGCCATTAATGCTCATATTCGAGCACCGTAAGCTATAGGACTGTTTTTCAGTTATTTTGGCACTATGTTCTCATTAACGTCGAGTTGTACGGGAAGCTTACGAATAATATGTTTTCAAGCATTTGAAATAGATGCTGATATTTTGCTACTACGTCTCCGCCTTAAACTTCGACAAACATCAAAGCTATATTGGTATTTGGCTCTGCTTGTGACATATCACTACCTAAGTTGTCAATTATACCAGTTGTTGAAATACACAGACTGTTGGAATAACCTCCACTGTTATTGGCACTGTATTTCTTCAAACGCTGGATCTTGAGCGTCTACTACTATATGAAGGTTCCACCCGCATTTTATATGTATGGGGATTAAAAACGAAACCACTTGATCGAAAAAGGAGCAACTAACTAAGTAGGGTAGCGGCCCGTAGATCTACCGACCTCACACCAACTCGACCTTTCTCCGTTGGCCAATCGCTCCGATCATTGTTAAAAAAGGCTCAATTTGCCCATCATGGTCTTCCTTCAAACACTCTCAGCAGCTAGTACGCCTTGAGGACCTTGACCACCAACAAGTCCGTTCTTGAATAAGCCACAAAGTTTCCTTACAGTACAGAAACTCATTAACTCTTAACACCATCCTCAATGCTAATCTGAAAGTAGATGCCATCCGAGGCAGGCGGGGACATTGGTTTCTTGACGCTGGGATCATAAGCGCATTGTGCCGTGACTGAAGACAGTCCCTCCAGGCCGCGCTCGTGTGCGCTTTCACCATTCTGTGCCTCCGGAAAAAAATGGTCCCGGCTTCCTTCATTCGCGACTCTGTCTCTTTTTCCGCTGCCATAAAACGTTTTCAGATGTATGGGGGTCTGCATCCAACTCCCGGAGAAAGCTGATGAGGACGACTTTTTCCATCCACTCCACGTTCTGAGGTTAGAAAATTGTCCAGGTTTAAAAAGAGGGGCAAGTGTAGGGATATTGGCGACAATGATTCCAAACCACAACTCGAAGCCGCTTGCAATAGCGATCAGACTTAGGAATGATGTGAAGTCTGGATCGTCTCGGTACTGGTAAGTCCAGATGGCTCTCCATATCATGACAGCAATGGTCCTAGGCAAGGTCAGAAACAGACCGTTTAACACAAGTATGAAGAAGTGGGCTATAGCGGGGCCCGAGACGGGTAGTTCTGTCAACCTTGAAATATACCCAGGCTAGAAGGGGGAACTCACAGCAGACCAAAGCTAAACATGGCTGTGACAGCAACCTTCTTCCGAGTTGGTAACTTCAATTTCCACAATGTGGGCATTGGGAGGATCAATATGACGAGATCCAGGAACATGTTGATAGCCAAAGTGCAATATTCGCCCACGTGGCCATCACGACAATGGCCGTCGGGCGTAGGATTCCACATGTGGTCAATTGGTTCACAGTTGGTCATATATACGCAGAAGTACGCGATGCAGTATCCTATGACAAGAGCTGAAACTCCATATGACCAGCGACGGAACTGCGGCGTGGTGAAGATGCGATTGTACAGAGACAGGATCGCAAGCTTGTAGAAGACACTTGCCAAGAGCCAGCAAATGTAAGACGTGAAAAGAAGCTGATGATGTGCTTAATACGGAGGAAACCACGTAGCCCGAATAACAGGAGCGGAGAAATGATATTGGAAGAAAAGGCAATACCTTTGCTGCTGCAGCGATCTCGTAGTCAGTGAGAACAGCAGCAGATTTACCCAGCCCGTTGACCGAGGACCACATGCTCACGACCCCAATCGCCACAGTATTTACCTGATTGATGTAGTTGTTAGATGAGTGCAGCTTTCAGTGGGGCCAGACGCCCTAGATCGACTCCCAGGCAGCTTAACTTACGTATGCAACAATAATGAAGAGATCGTCAAGGGAAAATGTGCGTCGCGACATTACCAAGGCAACAAACCGCAGTGCGATGAAGATGCCGCAGATGACGAGGAAAACCACTGTGAGGACGAAAAAGGCTAGTCCACTGGGACTGAAGTTGGCCGCCATGGTATTGAATGACGCCCGTAGAGGCTATCTGTCTGGCGATGTCCTGGTCGCTAGCTGGACGAGCGTGGGATTGGAACAATGAAGTGATTCACTTCTCTTTTCTGTACAAAGAATGGACCCAGTTCAAGCGGGGGCGAAAAGTAATTGTGGGAATAAATTCTTAGCAACGGAGCTCGTTAACAAACACAACTCGCATGGCTCAGTCCAGGCGGGACCGAACCGCCACCCCTATCTCTTCCTCCTGAGGGTCGGTTCCGAGATTCTACATAGGTACGCGCAAGCGAGGATTCTGCACAAGTACTGCGTCGAGCTGCATGGAAAAGGTCAGTTGCGTGACCGTGGGGGCCTAAGCACCACACCATGTCAACCACACCAATCGCACAGCCTACCAAAATCTCTGGATCACTAGTTTTCCACCACTGCTTTTTTGTGCGATGTTGTACCAACCGTCACCTCATTAACACACGCTTACACGTCTCCTTCCTACTGGGCTGTGGTACACACTTTGCAGTATTGTTATGCATCTATGTACTTTAATTAGGTATTTATGACGAAGCCGCACATGCGAGAGCGGCCTAAGCAACTGAATTCCGAGACGAGGCACACGGGTGCATGGGTAGCAAGCAGCCCACGGTAACATCATTGCAAGGTAACATCGTCTTGATTGGTTGAGGGGCCAGCAGCGATGCAGGCTCCGCGTATATCATTCGGTAAAAGGTTACAGGTCGAATTCGACAATCTTTCATGTGAGAATATTATTTAAGAGTTGCACAATATTGGTCGAGAGATTTCAAGCAATGAAGACAAATTCAAGGCCGTGCACGACTCCTCCTCCCTCTCGGCACCGAAGTCTTTCCAGATAAGGCATGCCCTTGTCTCCCACTGGAGCTCCATGTAGCTGATTTCCATTCCAGCGTGTTTAATTTTCATCCTTTTTCATATGAGTTTGCCACAGCCTCACGATGCAAATAGGTAGTCCATGAACACTTCGAAGAAGCCGCCATGGCCGGTACACTCCACAGATGATCGGCACCATGGGCATATGCACTCAACAGCCTGTCCAATTAATTCACCGGTTGCGAGTCGAGGGTGGGAAGGCTAGCATTGCCGTATCAACTGGCATGCTGCTGTGCTCGCTCAATCACACCCATTCGACGGGACAAATGGCACTCTCATACATAAATGCGTCTGTTGAGAGACAGTCGGCAAGGGTTGCTTGTTTGGGGTGTATGTCTTGAAATTGCAAGGATTCATTGATATCCTCGCACCCCTGCGGTGGTCGGGGACTTGCATTTGGCTTCATCGAGGGTGGTCAGACTTGAGGTTGTAAACGCCGGAATGTACCCACATACTCCGGCACGGTCCTAGGTGCCCCGTCCAATGTATCGATACGGAGTACTCTGGGTGGTTTCCGCATCAAGCCGTCTCAGTTGGAAGTTGGCAGATCTTTAAGACAAAGTCCTAAACAGCAGATCATTCACCACTGATGAACTCGGTCACTTGAAAATCATGGGAATCTCAGTGCTAGAAGTCAGCAGTGGCTGCTGGAGCGCTCAACAGCGCATTGCCCTAAATATACCCAGGGTCCATCCACGATGTCCTTCCTCAATACTGGCAACACTCTACAAAAGCTTGTTTTCATTTTCAGCAGGCTGGAGGGGCCTGTTTTAGGCGGTTGGCGATTGTCCCGATATATTCTTGACCTGCTGTGGGGTTTCACAGAGAGCGACTTTGCTACCTTCGTTGTTCCAGATATGGCCTTCGGCCTGCTGGGGGCTCTGTCACGCAGCTTGCTTATCAACGGAGACTGTCCCTCGCGCAATGAGATATTCCGACGCGTCCCGGTCTTGCTGGCTTTCAATTGGACAAACCTTCTCGTTTTCGACCTCGCCAACCAACGAAGCCCCGGCTCGGTGGCGGAGGATAGAATCAACAAGCCCTGGCGACCGATTCCAACCGGCAAAATCAGTCCCCAGCAGACGAGGCGCACGATGCTTGTCATTGTGCCTCTCAGTATGTGCCTCAACTACCACTTGGGAGTCTGGGTCCAAGGCTCTCTGATCCATTTGATCACGTGGCTTTACAACGATTTAGGTGGCGGCGACGAAGTAATTCTTCGGGAGGTGCTGATAGCTGTGGGATACGCTATGTTCAATTCCGGCTCACTCAAGATATCCGCTTGCGGCCGAAAAGAGCGCGAACGGTGTCAAATGAATTCCCAGGGTCTTGCTTGGACTGGAATAATCAGCGCGGTGATCTTCACCACGATGCAAATCCAAGATCTCAAGGATCAGCGCGGTGATCAACTTCGCGGCCGGAAGACTGTGGTACTCTTCCTTGGGCAGGAATTCTCTCGAAGGTCTACCGCTTTCTTCGTGATCCTCTGGTCTGGAGTATGCATTCAATTCTGGAATACCGGGCCATGGGGTCTCTTAGTTACTGTGCTGGGGCTGACTATTGCTTGGCGGGTGATAACACTCGTTCACAGCCGGCAGGAAGATCGCCGTACCTGGCAGCTATGGTGTCTGTGGCTTGTCATGCTCTACTTTCTGCCGACCATTGGTAAGGTCGACCAGGAGTTGTAGCTCTTCAAGAAGACTGAGGGGAATCGGAGGTGCTAATTGATTTCTATAATATTTCACCCCCATTGCTCAAGTGTGGCGCGAGAGTGGTGATTCTGCAGCTTGACCTACACAGAAAAAGGGTAGCAAAGCACTCGGATGTTCCAAGCGGGAGATGGACGTGAATGCCCTCGTCAAGGCTTTCATTTAGAAACCAATCTCACAGGAGGAGCATTGATAGCAAACGAAGAGGACGGATTTACCTTATATCCGCATCTAAGCTTATCTTCAATACACTCATTTACATTCCAAGGTGCCAAAAGTACGCTAATAATATATAAATATCACACACCACTAAACTCCCCATAAAACCAATATCCTTTCAATATTTTAAACCTTATACCTTAATTCTTTAATTACTATATATTAAATTAGTTTAAAGTTATTTATTTTTTATATTTTAATTATTATAAATTAATTAATAATATTTTTATAATATTATAAATTAATTTAATTATAATAAACTATTATATTATTTAAAAGTTATTTAAAGCTAATAAGATTAATAACTATATAATATTAAGGATTATAAAGTATTTAAAGTATTAAATATAAAAATTAAAAAAAGAATATTATATTATTAATACTATAAATAAGAGATACTATACATTTAAGTACCTTTAATTAATAAACTTCTATATAACTATATATCCTTACTCCTAACTTTCTATATTATTAATTCTATTAATATTAATATATATATTACTATATAATCCTTTCTTAACCTTTTATTTAAAAATAACCTTTACTTTAATAAAATATAATAATAATTAATTAAAACCTTTAAACTTAAAATATTACTATTTTTATTAATAAAGTATTTAATTAATTTAAATAAATTAAAAATAAATACTAATAACTATATAATATAATATAGTTTAATAAATTGAATAAATATTAAAATTATAGAATTAACACTATAACTAATTTATTTATATTAATAAGTCTAAAGTTAATAAATAAGATAATACTTACTATATAGACTAATTATTAAAGGGTATTAAACTAAAGTAATTATTCCTTAATAATAATAAAGATTATAAGATATAGTTTTAAGTAGTTCTATTATTTATAATAAATAAAATCCTCTACTTATTAATATATAAAAATATTAATTTTATTAACTTTATTAGTATATATAATTTAAAATATTACTATATATAATAATATTTTTAAAGTTTAATTTAATACTAATTATAAATAATATAAGCTTTTATAAGTATATTAAATTAACTAATTTATATATTTAATATAATATTTTATTAGAATACCTTCCTATATATTTACTAAATCTTAACTTAATTAAAGTATATTTTAGAATCTTAAAATATTTATTTATTATTATACTACTTATTATAAAATAGTTAAAAATTAAAAAACTTTAAGTAGTTTTTATTAATTATATATATTAAGTTAAGTTAAATATAAAACTATTTAAAACTATTTTAAAAGTAGAGGTTTTTAAATTAAATAGTATAAAAAAGTATTATTAACTATATAGATTAATTATAATAATAATTATTATAATAATATAATTATATATATATATATATATAATTACCTAACTTTATTATAATATAACTTAATATAATAAAGTTTAATTATTTATTAAATAATATAATAGAAAAGCCTTAATTTTAGGTTATTAAATAGTATATATCTTAAATATATAGAGTATTATTAATATAATTACTTTAAAAGGTTTTAATTAAACTTTATATAAGCTATATATCTAACCTTTAATAATTTTAATATAACTACTTTAAAATATTATTAATATAATCTTTAAAATATTAAAACTTAATTAAAAATACTTATATTAATAAAAACTATACTATTTAATTAATATAATAAAGAAGTATTAATTAATATAATTATATATAATAAAACTTAATATTTATATATAAAATAAATAAAAGGAAAATATTAAAATATTAAAATTCATAAAAATTAAACTAAACTTTAAAGTATTTTAAGATAATTAGAATTAAATTTATAATTATAATATTATATAAATCTTATATTTAAGTTAATATTAACTATATTAAAAGGCTTTTAAAACTTAATTTAATTTTATAATAAACTATTAAATAGTTATAACTTTATAAAGGTAATAATAAAATACTTAAATATAAATCTTACTATATTAATAAGTTTTATATTAATATATAACTTAACTAAAAATAATTATATAAATAAAAATTATATTAATTAATAATTAAAATTTAAAGTTTTAAATAATATAACTTTCCTTTAATAAATTATTATTTTAAAAATAATAATATATTATTATAAAACTAATAATACTTAAATATATAAAATATAAAAAATACTATCTAACTAAATAATACTATTATTATAACTATAATTAAATTAAATACTCTTCTATTATATAATTCTTATATTTCAATTAATTATAATTATATTATTAATACTATTTAATTAGGTAATATTAAAATAAAGAAAGAAAAGTAGTTTTATAAAGAAAGAAAAGTATAAATAATTTAAATAAATAATTAAATTATAACTTAAACTTAAAGGTACTAACTTTAAACTATTATAACTCTATTAAAAAAATTATAAATATAATATAACTTTTAATTCTATATATTTAAAAACTTTTAATTTAAATAATATAATACTTATTTCAATTAAATATCTTTTAATTAAAAATAATAAAATAATTATAATATATAATCTAAATATTTTATAACTAATTAATATATATTTAATTAACTTTATAATTATAAATTAAATATTATTATTAATTAAAAATATTATAAACTTAATTAATTATATAAACTAATAACTATTTATAACTATAAATTATTTTTAAGTATTTTATTTCTTTTAATAATCTATTGAGTATTAATATATATAATTAAAGTACTATTTAATTAATATTATTATATAATCCTCCTTTTAAAAGAAATCTTTATATACTAATATATAAAGGCTATTATTAAATACTATATTTTTAAACTATCTATTTAATTAGTTAATTAAATTTTTAAATAATAATAAACTAAAGTTTTTAACTTATTATAAAAGATATTTTAAAAATAACTTTTAATATAACTATAAGCTTTTAATATACTATATAGATAAAAACTTACTTAGTAATTTAAATTTATTAACTTTATTAAAGACTATTAAAAATAAAAATAAAAGTATAGTTTAATATATTAATAAAGATAGTATAACTTTTAATAACTTATTAGTTATTAATAAGGTTATAAGGAAACTATATATTTAATTAGATATATATTATAATTAAGGTAATAATTAATATATTAAAGAATTTCTATATAGTTAATAATAATTTAAAAAAAGAGTATTACTTTAATATTAAGTCTACTATTATTAATAATAATATTTTGTTAATAATACTATTATTTATTTTATTAATTTATACTCTATTAATTTATTTAAAGATTATTAATATAAACTCTTTTTTACTCTAAGTACTAAAAGGTTTAAGTAATATCTTTAAGATTACTATACTACTATATCATATACTAAACTATTACTTAATTATATATAATTTAAAAGATATAATATAGCTTTATATTCTCTTAATACTTATTAATTTTATTAATTTAGTTTATAATCTCTTTATTAATTAAATATAAATAAGTTTAATCCTTTTAATAAAATAATAAACTATTTTATAAATATCCTTTTATTATTAATATAATTATTAAAAATTAAATACTTTTAAAATTAATAAAGTTATATATATATTATAATATATTCTATTTATTAAAACTATATTAATATTTATATTTTATTCTTTTCTTTAAAGTTTACTTTATTAATAATATTAAACTAACTCTATTAATAAAATAGAAATTAATCTTAAAAAGACTTTAAATTAAATATATTTTTATTTACCTTAATAATAATAATAATATATAAATCCTTAATATATTAAAATATTAATATATAACTATTTAAAAATAATATTACTATATTTAAATATTATTTAAAACTATTTATATTAAAAGATCTTAAAGTTAAATATATAAGTAATAAGAAGGTTATATTCCTCTTTATTACTAATAATCTTTAAAGTTAAGTTAATAACTACTTACTTAACCTTAAATCTACTTAATTAACTCTTAAACCTAATAAAATATATAATTAATTACTAATATATAATACCTTTTATACTATATTATAATTAATATAAATATATTTTTAATATTATAAATATTAAGGTAGTTTATAATTTATTACTTTAATATATTAAATTATTAATTAAATGTATATTAAATATTATACTTTATAACTAAAAGTAGTTTTAAATATATAGTATTAATTAACTAAATATATTAATTATTTAATACTTAAATATATTATATAGTAAGTATTATTATAAAATTCTAATATTTATATATATTTTTATTAAATTTTTAAGAAATCTAAATTATTATTTAAAAGCTTCTAATTATATTTTTAATTAAAATCTTTTATACTTTATTTTTAATAATAACCCTACTTATAGTTAGTATATTAAAAGGGTCTTTATTAACTTCTTTATTAATCTATATACTTATTAAATCCTTAATAAAAGACTATTTATATTTAACTTAAAGTCTTAATTTACTCTTAATTTATATATAACTTTTAACTTAAATAGTACCTTTAATATTATTATATAATAATTAGTTAATATTTAATATTACTTTACTATAATATTATATACCTTATTATTTATAGTTTTAATTTTCTTTAAAAATATTATAATAAAGATAGTTTAAACTTACTTTATTAAGCTATTATTAAAAATAATCTAATACTTTAAATAGACTTAAATATAATAAAAGTTTAAAGTTAATAAGTTATAATTAGCTTAAAGGATTAACTTATAACTATAAATATAATTTTATAGCCTTATAGGTATATTATATAATTATTAATTTAAGTAAATAAATAATAAATAGTTTAAATTAAGTATATTAATATAAAGGGTTAGTAATATATTAGTAGTAGCTATATTACTAAATAATAACTTAATAAATAAAATATTATATTTAAAGGTAAAACCTATCTATAATAATTAATTAATAGTTATTTAAGGGAATAATTTATAGCTAGGGATATAAATAATAAGGTTATATATAGAAATATTAAAAGGATATTAGTTTTATAAAGAGTTTAATAGTGCATAACATTTATACGTTACTAGCATACTTTTGGCACCTTAGAATGCAAATAAGTATAGCAGTACTCTATAGGTGTCAGTTGATCCGTGACAATATAAAATGTAATTGTTTGAGCCCCACCTCCCCGCTATAACAATACATTCCAAGCTTTGTGTCTTGATCATACTGCCAGTAGACTTGGACATTCCTCTCTGTCTGAGTGTCGCTGCTGAAGTCTAGGGTTTGGTTATATGAAGGCACTTGAAATACTAACCAAGTCTCCCACAGTCAAATAACAAAGAGCAGGCTATGCTTGACTCGAGGATTTCAAGGAAACCGGCGGAGTAGAACAGTTCACCATCTCTGCATTCTACATTGATCAGGATGATGCCGAGTTTGGCGCAGTCCGCCACGTCGCCTTCATCGACTATTTCCCCGGAGAGCGGCCTGTCGACCGAGCGCTCGAGGCACCGGGTGTTCCCCAACCGTTTTGCCGAGAACCACGAGCAGATCATCGAGAGCCACAAGAGGCAGATTAGGGAGTTCACGAGGTACCTGAGCCCCAACAAGCGATGCCGGCCTAAGTCAACGAAGTCTGCTACTTACAACTTCATGGAGGACGAAATGAAAATCCAGTCGTGGACGAACGGCTCGCGCTCAAGACTCGCCTTCGCACGGACCGAGATCATCCAGGTATCGTATGGCATCGAGTGGCGCCAGCGACGTGAGCGCCTGCTCATGAACCCCTTCCTGAGGCAGCGCGTCCGCAACTCAGACCGTATTAGCAGCCGCCAGGTCAAGTTTACCGAGCCGACGGACCTCGCTGAGGAGGACTTGGTTTTGCTGCCAAATCGCATGTGCCGACTTTTTGCGCGAGCGTCGCTTTGTGCCGATCGATATCAACTTCCTAAACCCGACTCGTCGTGAGCAGGGAGTCTTCAAGAGCCTGCGCATCTTGCAGGTCTACCAGGACATCATTCGTGGCCTCGTGAGCTCCCACTTCGAGAAGACCATCGAGAGGAATTACATCGACATTGCCGCAGAAGGACCCAGCCAGGATCTCACACAAGGCAAGAGTAGAGGTCTCGTTGTTCTCTTTCACGGTGTTCCTGGCGTGGGCAAGACAGCCACGGCCTCGGCCGTGGCCATGGAGAACCAGAAGCCTCTGTTCGTTATCCACTGTCGCGACCTGGGACTATCGCCCTCCGAAGTCGAAAGGACTCTAATCAGCGCCTTCCGCCTGCCGCACATGTGGTACTGCGTGCTCCTGCTCGACAAAGCCGACGTCTTCCTGTCCCAGTGATCCAAGCAGGACATGAAGCGCAACACCCTCGTAGCGGTCTTCCTAAGGGTGCTCGAGTACTACAACGGCATCCTATTCCTGACCACAAACTGCGTGGGCACAATTGATGAAGCCCTCCGGTCGTGCATTCACATGTCGCTCTATTACCCGCCCCTGGATAAGGCGCAGACGCGCGACATCTTCCGCCTCAACGTCGCCAAGCTGCGCGAAGTTGAGTCGCAGCGGTACCAGCTCACGGGGGAGCCGGCGATGCTGTCCAAACAGGCCGAGATTGTCAACTTTGCCAAACGGCACTACGAGGAGCACGCACGCCTGTCTGGCTGCTGGAACAGCCGGCAGATCCGGAAGTCCTTCCAGATCACGAGCAGCTGAGCTCGCCCCAACTACGCCGGCCAGAATGGCACTGGCTCTGAGCCGCGGGCAGCAGGGCGCTGCTGCGCCGGTGCTGGATCGTGGGCTCTTTGAGAAGGTCCGGATGTCGACGCAGCCTTTTGAGTGGCACATGAGCAAGACGCGGGCTGGGAATATGGCTTTGCGGAACACACTCCAGCAAGATAAGTCTGACTGATGTCGGGCACATTGAACCTCCTACGATACCGTTGGTCTTAGCGGATAGTGTGTCGCAGAGTCAAGTTGTGCAGTGCACTGACCCCGAATGTTCTTGTCTTTGTTGACAGTCGTTGTCACAATCACATGTGGTGATATTTGTGCTCCCAACCTGGTGAATCAGTTGATCCCCGAGTCAAATCTTATTGTACTCGCCCAGCAGCGTGGCCTGTCACAGTCTGGCGTGATTGGCGTGTTATTGTGGTTCTCCGTGTTATACAGCATATATCATTGGTGAGAGGATGGGTTTTCAACTCCTAGCTGCCTTAGCATTTTTGGGACCGCTCGGGGTCGACAGCTCAACGCCTCGTCACAAATCATACGTTGAATATCAAAGCGAATCTGTAGGTTGGGCGGAATCCCATGTGGGGCTACCTTCACATTTGCTGCTGCACTATCACTTTCACACACTTGGGCAGAACTTCTGTCGGAGCTAGAGGACCGTCATCTGGCAAAGGCCCGCATAAAAGGTGCAGGTGACCGCGCAGTACAGTCAGAGTCATAGGGCTGCGGAAGGATGCAGATGTGGGCAGGAGGGGCGGACCATGCATAAGTTTACCCTCGGAGCCTTATCAGCCCTCCTGATTCTGATTCCCCTGGGTAGGAGTCCTCCTAGCGTCAAATTCGTGGAGTTTATCCACTCCAAGCCTAGTGAGGCAGATCAAGAAGTTACTAAGGATTCAACTCGGTCATGGCGGATGGACAATTCATGGGGTTTGGGAGAATAAGCCGAATGTGAGACAGACCATCAAGACGGACGAATTACGGGATCAGATGGACAGCGGCTGACGTCGGGTCGCTCGCTTAGTGAGAGTTCCGTCTGCAAAAACGCCCATGCAGCCAAGAATGGCAATGGCCCGGGATCGTCCCGACACACCCACGACTCGGATTGCTCATAGTTGACACACTTTGAAGGAATGGGAATCGGTAGGATTCACTTCAGCCTGAGCGGAGGGTCGGAAGCGAGCCTTAGTAACCAACACAGCACATGCCAACGCCAATTGGCGGGTCTTAGCTGAGCTGACGCCCTCGGGACTTATGTGCCCTGAAGGAATGAACCTTTTGGGACTTCTGCGCCAGAGATTCTTTGTCTCGGGGTGTTTTTTTACTTTACACCTACAAAAGGGCCTGTGCACAGCTACCCCATGTTTCCAAACCTCCTCTCATCGCGCAAAGACCGTAGCTTATCCTTGTGAACGATGCCTTCCAAACTTCGTCAACGCTGCCGCGTCGCGTGGCTCGAACCGATCGACGCCGACGAGTCACCTTCGCTCCCCCCGCTGCATCTTAAAGATATATTCATTCTCGACTCGCTGAACACATACTCTTGGATTGCACTGGTCGGCGTCTTTTGGGCTCTGGTGTTGACGACATTGGGAGTGGGCCGGCCGGCTCTCTTCGCGGTGGTGGCTGGTGTGCATTGCGTGCTGGTTGGCCTTGCAGCCGGGCTCGCAGCGATATATGCCCGTATCTGGCCCACTAAGAAGGCCATGAACAATATGAAAGGCCAAGATTGACTTGGTTAAATGATCCGATTGCCAATCCCGCCGGTTTATCGGCACACCAGCGACAGACAGTCTGGATTTGAGATATTATGCAGGCGGTGGGATGGGAGGCGATGTACTGAGCATGCCACCTCCGACTTCACATTAAGAGTTCCGGCGGAGAAAGAGCCCTCAACGTGGCATACTTTCACTTCAATCGCTAAGGCGTTCAGATTGGGACAGAGAATAGGGCCCAGAAGGTACCAGTGATGGAAACGGGCTCACATGCAGTTCTCAAGAACCGAGGGGTATGGCAGGTGGTGTGCCGAAAATGGACTTGATTTGAGGATTTGAGCCTGGCCACGCTCACTACACCACTGATGATGCTGTTATGCTGGACAATTAGCCTATCATGGCGGCAAAATATGATGGTTTCCTTGGACTTTGGTGACAAGTATTTGGGGTTTAGCGCTTGAGTCTCGAACATATGCAGGATATGTAGCTTGTTCCTCGAGACTCTCCGCCTCAAATTTACACGGGAACCTGACGCTCAAGGCTGTTCAGTCATTCCAAATGAAAAGTAATTTCAGTACCTGCCGCGAACCGCTGCATAAAATACCCGTGCAGCTTTTCCCGTGTCGGCTGTGATGCCAGATTGTTGAACGAGTGTTCCACCACGACCTCAGCGGACATGTTCTTTTTACCTAAGTACTTCAAGTTAACATTCAACTCATATGTGTCTGATTTATAAAGTGGCAAGGGGTTCTTGTGTAGCCGATTAGGTACGAGGTTATTTATTAGGTGCTGCAAAGTGGGTTTGAGATGAGAAGATACGTTGTGGGTAAACCTAAAGAATTCGTTGAAGTGCTAACCCACTTGCGCAAATACAATAGCACGATCATCATGTAAGCTTCTACGCTTGAGTATAGCGCCTGACTACTCGGCCAAGTTGCAGTCGTTCTCCAGAAGAGGTTGGCAGCAGGGAGTGGCGGCAAAGCCCCTGAGCGTAATCGACTCTTGCGCAATTGTGTAGTACGCGACTCGTTCAATATAATACTTCATCAGTGTCGATTTGCGATCCAGTCTCAATATTACATCGTCGTGAAGTGTCGATGAAGGTACTAGTAGTGAAGCTCAAACAACCTCAACAGCTCGATCCCCTGAGCATTCAGAGTTCTAGGATCAGTACTACCTCCAAGACGGTGATGAGAGATTTGGAGGAACCCAGTCACCTATCAGTGGCGCTTCCCAACCTTCTTTCCGCACCTCTTGTCTTGCCATGATTCTCTTTTGGCGCGTGTGGGGTCTCCACAGTATGGAAATTAATCAAAGTATCCCTAATTGTACGATTGAAAGTAACAATAAGCCTCTGAATACGCCTCGCTATAGAAAGTATCCATCTCCTGTGGTGTGGATTCTTCTCGCAAGACAGCCTTGGGATCCCCCGTGGCTGTCTGGTCAGACTCGTTCAGCCGTTCTATGTTCTCAATCGCATTCTCAAGGGCCATAATCGTGGCATCGTAGCCTTGCTAGCGCGGTCTGAAGAAAATAGCAATTTACCCTCTGGCTAGGGCAAAGCTGGATTATAGGGTATTCCGTGTTCCGGAAATGAGAACCACGATCAAAAGATCTTCGGTCGCTTGCTGGAAGATTTCAAAGAAGAAGCCATGGTCATTGGCCAGATATCGAGGGGCTTGTATCAGGCCTGCAGGTCGACTGCGCATAAGTAAACTCATACCTAGTCTCATTGTATGACTACTCTGGCGGCGTTGTAGTCAACACCGCCGTCAAGACAGGGCCCGTTAGCCTTATCTGTATGTCACAAGGCTGAGGCCACATATACCTATTGTAATTTTACCACTATTATTAATAATACATCTTTTTTAAGAGATTGGAGATTTATAGGGCGAAAAACGGAGGGTATAGGGTAAGAAGTACTACTAGCTAATTAAAAGGCTTTATTTAACCTTATTATACTATCTATACTACTTTAATTAAATACTTTTTATACTTTAACTTATAAATTTATTAATCCTTCTTTATTTATTTAATAATACTCTTTTATTAACTATTTAAAATATGTAATATTTATTAAATATTTAATATAATTAATTATTATAATATTAAAATATATTTTTAATAATTAAAATTAAATTTTTAATATTATAATAATATTATATATCTTTAATTATATTTATTTTAAAGTATAATAATAGGTAAACTATTAAAATTAAAATATTTATATTACTATTATAAATAATTACTTTTAATACTTTTTAATTTTTAATTATTTAAAAGTTTTATAATAAATATAATATTTATAAAGATTTAAAATTAATTTAAATAAAGTTATAAAATAAATTAATTATATAATAATTAAAAGAACTTTAATTTATATATATATATTTATAATATTATTATAATATTAAATATCTAATTATTATAATAATAAACTCTTTTTTAATTAAAATTAATTATAATTAATTAATATTTATTTATTATATTATAAATACTTTTAATATATATCTTTTATTTTAATAATTTAAAGTATAATTTTATAATCTTTAAAAGTTATAAAAGTTTAATATAATTAAATTAAGTAAATAAACTTTTAATATAAATTTTTATTTATATTATTAAAACCCTTTAATAATAAAGTTAAAAACCTAAATAAATACTTTAATAATAATAATTAAATATTTATTTAAAAATATATACTTTAAAGAATTAATTAATAAACTAATATAAAAAATTAAAAATCTATATTTTAATTTAAGCTTTATTAACCTTACTTAAAGAGAAAAGTATTAATATTATTTTATTATTAATAAAATAGTTATATTATAAATATCTTTTAATATATAAAAATAATTAAGTTAAATTTAAAAATTACTTTATATAATATTTTTAATAAACTATATTTATATAATAAATAATAAAAATATTATATTTTTAAGGTATTTATATAATATATATAAGGAAGAACTTATTTTTATTTTAAAGTATTATTAATAATAAAGAAAACTTAATTTTTAATAATTTTAAAATAAGTTTATAACTTTTTTATTATTATTAAATTAATAACTTAATAATTTATATAATTAACTATAATATTACTTTAATTAATATTTTAAAATATAAATTCTTTAAAATATATTATTAATTATATATTTTGTATATTAACTTAAATATTACTTTATATATTAAAAAAGTAGAAGAAGTTATTAATAATAAAAGTAAAAAGAGGAGAAAGTATAGAAAGTAAATAAAAAGAGAACTTAGTTTTAACCTTACTTTATATATTAAAAGGAATAAAACTATAATACTTATAAAAGTTTTTAAATTAAAAATATCCTTTATATTTATTAAACTCTATTTAACTTTCTTAAAATTATAAAATCTTTAATTAATTATAAAATTTATAATATAATTTAATAATATCTTTAAAAAAGATTTAAATTAAATAATAATTATTAATTATTTTTAGATTTAATATATTAATAAAAAAGTTATTATTAAAAAGTAATTTATAAGATTTATAAAATCCTTAATTTTAATTTATATATAACTTTTTTATAAAAGTTATATATTAAAAGTTAAAAGTTTTTAAATTATAAAATAAATAATATTTTTATTTAATTAAAATTATTAATAAAATAATTATTAATAGTTTTATATTTTATATAATAAAAAGTTTATTAAAAATATTTTTATTAAAAGTTTAATAAATAAAAGTAGTTAAATAAACTTTTATTTTAAATTTTATAAATAACTTTTAAATTCTTTATAATAATAAAAGTTATATATTATATATATTTAAAAATAAATTTTATAAAGTAATTACTTATTTATAAGTTATATATACTTTATATTTATTTAATTTAATTTATTTTATATAAGTTAAATTATTAATTATAAAGAAGTTAGTTATTTTTAAGAAGATAGATATTTATAAGTTTTATTAGTTAAATTAAGATTTTTAATTAAAACTCTTTTTATAATTTATTTATTAATAAAAATTATTATTATAAAAGGATAGCTTTATAAAATAGTTATATTTATTATAAATAAAAGGAATTTTTATAAACTATAAAAGGTTTATAATAAATAAGAAAATAATTTTAATAATTATTAGTTTAAGTAATAAAATAGGTAATAAATTAAAAGTAATTATAGTTTTTATATAATATATTAATTTAATATTTAAGTAGAATAATAAAATTTTTAATTTTTAAATTAAGTTAACTTTTATAATAAAAACTAATAAGAAACTATTTAATAAGATTAATAATTAATAATAAAGTTTATATAGTTATTAATTTATTAATAAGTAAAATAATATTTTATAAAGATAATTTTATTAATTTATTAATAATAATAGTATTAATATTTAAATTAATAATTAAAAGTTTTATATAAAATTTATAGGATTATTAATTAATTATTATAAATTAGTTTAATTATAAAGAACTTTATTAATAATAAAAGGAGATTTAAAAAAAGATTATAATATTTAAATATTTATTAAAGTAATTTAAATAATAAGAAGAAAAAAATAGTAAAATATTAGATTAAAAGTAATAATAAAAGGGTAAAGAATTAAGAATTAATAAGGAAGTATATAATAAATAAGTATAAATTTTAATTTTATATAGTATATTAATAGTATAGATTAAAGTTAGTATATTAAAGGTATATTTTATTTTATACTCTTTATTTTTCACCCTATAAATCTCTAATCTCTTTTTTAAACGCTAGATCTAGAGCATTATCACTATATAAAGGCGCTATATATGTCCTTGGATATATACGGAATAGAAGTGAAACCAGATACGGTCATGGTAACTTTAAGTACATCCAAAACCCACCACACAGCCAATGTCTGGTACAAATAGGACGCGAATCTAACACATAAGCTAGTAGCTGCTCGCCTAATAGACAATCTACGGCGCACATGTGTACTTAGCAAAAGACCCAAGCTCTGACGAGCGCATTCACAAGACCAGCACGCAAGTACCTTACACAGACGTCTGAATGCCCCGGAAGCCACCGCCAACAAAAACGGCCACCTCCGCAGAAACGCACAGGCAGTCAGATACACAGTAAATACGGTATGGGTAATCTTGCACTCCCCTACGTAACTAAGGACTCACTACACCCAAAGAAGCCTAGTTAGCCCCACCCAACTACAACCTTAAATACTAAGCCTTTTAAACACTTAAAGATACCTTAACTACTTTTTATTAAGGGGTTTAGGGGGCCCCCTTTAATAGGGGTTTAAGGGTAAAGCCCCTATAGTTAGTGTTAAGGTTAGTGGTTAGAGTTAAAGTTAGTAGTTAGGGTTAGAGTTAGTGGTTAGGGTCCTAGAATATGAAAAAAAAGAGGAAGACGGTACTAATAAGTATTTTCTAGGACGTCAAAATTAAAGTCAAATTGACCTTTCCATTTTAGGATGAGCGAGTCCTTAGTTACGCAGGGGAGTGCAAGATTACCCATATTGCAGTAAATAAGCTTTTCACAGTATCACTAGCCCGCAGGCCACGTACAGTACACCTTCTTTCGCCATGCGGATGCCCAAACAACCCCAAAAAAGCCTGGGATTCGGCCCTTCGTTACATCCAACCTACCCGCCCATCCGGCCACATCCACCTTACCTGCAGCAGACACGCACTGACAGTGAGAGAAGCCCGGCCGGCTTTCCGCATCCAGACAAACCGCAGACGACCCCGGGTGTCCGTGCGCGGGGAACGGGCTCTTCTTTTTTTTATTATTCGTGAAAAAGATTGTTGGTAAGTTTTAACTACCCCCATGTGCCGTTCATTGGCATTACGCGTTGCGCCATCCCGCCGGTCTTGGTTCCCGGGCCTGCCGGCGGGCGGGCTAGCAACGACCCGAGCACGAGACCAAGGAAGGCGGGGGGGGCTTGATTGCTCGCATATATCTTTGCTACTTCAAGTTGCTATTGATGTGTCGTGTGGGGTTTGCTAGCTGGCTGTAAATATCTAGTGCATGCAGTCTCAATAATGTATGCTCAGGGCTGGATACTAGCTATCTACTCCGTATCATCTGGTTCAGGCGGGCCTGCGGTGTATTGTGGGGTGGCTTTGCCAGGAGCCAGTGCAGACAGAGTGCATCATACCGATCGTTGCTCGACGTCCCCCCGTCGGTGAAATACCCCCGACCAACTTGTCCGTCCCCGATTAAGGAAGTCGGATCCGATCAACACCCAAGGCTCCCAGGACCGCCCAGAAATGCCCAACGAAAAAAAATTGACTTATCTCACATTAAAAACAAGCAAACCGGGCATCAACGCATGCCCATCTTCTTGGTAAAGAGGTATCAAAATTCAAATTCGCTATATCGCTGTAAAAATTCCACAAACTTTGTTCTGCGCCAGCCCGGGCGTCGTCCCTCCCCGAAACCCACATCAACCCCGTGATATTCCCGCAGCACGCAACGAAAAAAACCCTCCCCAACCTGCCAATGCCAACCAATGTATCCCAGCGCGCGAGGGGGAAAAAAAAAAAAGGCCAGCCTGGTTCGGTCCCCACAAAAAGCAGGAAAACGGGCGAGCCGCCTGAAAAGCAGGGGTGTTCCTTGATTCTTTGGGCATTCCCGCACCAGTGAGCAAAAAGATGCGACGCAACGCAACGCAGACGAAATCGACCGGTGTCCCCGCCCGCTACGCGACGGAAACCCTGGGGGAAGAAGCTATGCGCTACCACCACACTCGGGCCATTGCGACCTCCAATGACGGGTGTCTCAATGCAGACCGAGAGGTGCCGATGTACGCCCGGCGATAGCGTCTATGCAGGTATGTTTACACAGCAGTAGGAGTGTTTGGTGTCCGGAGCCCAATGCATTCTGCCAGTCTTCTTTTTTTTTGCTCCTCCTCGGCGAAGTTCGGTGTTTACTTATAGGTGGTGGTTGGCTGGTTGGTTGGTTGGATGCGGCATTTGGGGGATTGCGCGTGGGATGGATGAAATCCTGGTGGGGTGTGCGAGATGGAGAGAGCCGCATTCAATGTTTCCACTGTGACGGACCACCCCACGCTCGACTCATGCTAGTGGTGTAGGAGTGATGCAGAGCCGGGCGGACAGAGACGGGCGTCCTACTTGGAGCCAGACTCGGAGGTCGAGGCCGAGCTGATGGAATCTGCGGAGCTCGTCCGGGATGACTTGACGCGCTCACTAGATTGGGGGAAGAGCCGGTCAACATTTTTGTTCAAGTTGTTTCCTGGGGGAAATGGGCTTGGCGACATCTCTTGGCCTGCATGGAGCGTGCGCGCCCTGCAGCCCTGAATGATGTCGTATTGGGGCACTCTGGGGGAAAACCACTTACTATGATGAGCGATCAGTGTGGACTTGGGCAATGTACGAGGCACCACCGGTCTTGAACGTGAACTTGAGGGGCTTGTTCTCAAGGACGGACTTGATGTCCTTGACAGCGGCAGGGGCAGCTCCGGAGGAAGACATTGTGAATTATTGTGTGGTGGAAGAGAAGATGGGCTGGTATTGCAGCGAGGTTGGTGCTGTTGGTGCTTGGAAGATGGTCTAGGATATAATGATGCGCCGGAAGGAGTTGAAACTGAGCAGAGACGAAGAGAGAGACAAGGGCGGACGAGAATACAAATATATATTTGAGCGTCGAGGTACGTCCCGTGGGGACTAATGGTCGAGATGTGCCGTGGGCGCCGTGGCCGAAGGCCGAGATGAGATTGTGCAAGTGCAAGCGCAAGCGCACGTACGGATACGCGGTACGGTGGTACGGGGTACGGATACCATAAGCTTGAAGCAGTGCATCTCTTGTGTCACTGAGCGATTTTGCAACATCCACAGCCGCAGGCCCGACGGGTCCAGTCCAAGTCCACCCCACAAAAGGCGTTCCTGGCGTTGCTGATTGATGAGATATTGTAATTACCAGGCCCTCGGGCAGGTCTTGGTCTGGCACACCCTGAGTGGGAAGCTCGGACCGGGGGATCGAGTACAACCAAGTACAAGTCGAGGCGACCCCTTCCTGTGCTGGGGCCACCGGGGTCCAGGAGGTCCAGGGAAGCCTGTGATGTTGCTCATCTGAACGAATTCCGCCCAGTGCCCCCTGGACCCCCACCACCAGTTCGGTGCCGACGCGGCGAGTCCTGTGGAGCGATGGCGAGCCTATGGGGTGCGTGCTTGTACGCTGAGTGATAGGGTACACGTGTGTGGTTGCCGTTCAGGGCTTGGGGCGATCTGATGGGTTTGCATCTCCGGCCCCTCGTGCCTCTGCAGAGATGTTCGTGCTCGGAACAGACGGCAAACATGGCGCCCGCGCTTGGGTGAGCACTAACAACCTCAACAACCTCAGCAGTCTGACGAGGCTGGCTTCTTTCGACGATGACACATGTTGACACTGAAGCGTGTGCTGTAGCACTGCACCGTGCAGCATGGAGAAGCTGGGGGCAATATGCTAACGTTGTGTGGGCGTAGTCGTGCTCCTCACGGATGCTTCAGGGCAGGCATTGCTTCGGTGCTACTCTACACTAGCCAGGGTGTGATTTGGTGCTTCTGGAAGCCCGCTTCGCATAACAGCGCGACATGCCGGACAATTTGTGGTCCCTTGGCCTGCATTTCTGTCATGCCTGATCGATCCCCGAAAACGACACGCCTTTTGCCGGTGTCCAGCAGTTGTCGAAACCGACGATCAACCAAACCTTGTGAGGATTATGCTGTAATATTCGTGCATTCTGGCAATGCGGTAGCGGCCTCACCGCCGATGAGGAGGAGAAGATCATCGTCCAGCTGCCCGGCTTAGAACACGCGCGACCCGCCGCTGCCGTCAAGGACGGTGGGAGGCGGATTCTGACTGCATTTCCCCCCGTCTGTAGGGTCTGGTGGCTGGCTGGCCGAACTGTTTGTCAAACAGGTTTCATCCTTCATGCTGCCGCGTCGAGGAGACATGGTGAGCCCGGGATGGCCCCTCCTGGCAGCCTCACTCCCGAGGCGAGCCCACCGAGACCGCAGATGACTGAGGTGGAATTTCGCCGAGACGTCCTTGTGGTCCTGTGGTGCCTCTGTGTGGAGCCTGCTTGACTTGGACCAACACGTAGATATCCATGGATCTCTACGGAGACTCGGTACCCAGGGTGGGTAGCACAGCATCTCCCATACCCCACGATGCCCCCGTGGGATGGCAGCGCATCATCATTTCCCCAGGCTAGTGATGTGGGCACGCTTGGCCCTTCCTGTGCTGGCTCCAGTGTTTCCGCAATCGGGGGAGGACGCTCTGCCGATTGTTCTGCGACTCATGGGGCGGCGATCAGCACGCTGTCGTTGGTGGTTGTGCCTTCTCCTGCCTTCTCCTGTGTCTTTCTGCCTCCCAGGGTGGGAAAAGCTACTGGCAGACCGGTCGTGTTTGTGCACGGCAGGGCTGCAGTGCCCACAGTAGCTGCATTGACGGATGACTTGGCAGGCACGATGCACCCCAGGCCCTGCCCATTGGACGAACTCCTCTTGGCAGGTCACGAGGTTTCATACATGACTTCAGACGCCAACTTTCCTCCTCTCCGTCCTCGCCAGTCGGTCAAGTTTCGCAGCACCATTGCATTGGCCTCAACGTTTCAACGGACGCTCTCAACGTCTTGCCTCTTCGATACCTGCCTGCAGAAGCGCATGTGCCATGCAGGTATTTCTCCTCTCTCGGGAAGCACAAGACTGCAGCGTCAAGGCTGCATCATCGTAATGCTTCCTTCCATCTGCAACCCCCGTGTCGCTGTCTCGCCTCGATATGCCATGTCGTTCCCCTTCTCCTCTCTGATTCGCTGACCCGCCCCCGAAACGTTGCATGGCCGACGCCCAATGCACACTCATGCTTCCCCGTCGCCATGCAAGCCCGGCCGCCGCCGATGTGTGAATCCCGTTGGCCGCCACTCACATGCAGCCCGCCAACCTCTACCCGCCGCCCTAGTGCCGCTGCTACAAGATGCATTGTCGGTGTGGTTCATGGTGTAAGGTGTGGGGGTTGACAGTTGTCATGTCGATGTTTGTGAAAAGAATGTGGCATTACCTTCTCTTCTGACATATGAAAGTCTGTCGACCTCAGATCTCGCCTGGTGACCCGCACAGCACGCTGCAACGCACCACGTGTCCCACAGTTGTTCTCCTTAGTGTCAACAGAAGAATGCTTGTTCCGTTTCATACCAAGTTGAACAGCCTCTTGTCCCTTTGACCCTTTCATAGCCTGTCAAGGTTGACGGGAACCGGGCTGGACTGCCTTCCATGGTGGGCTCTTGGCTCTGCAAAACAGCTCATCCTGGATATGTCTCCAGTGCCCCTCCATGCCCCTCCATGTTGCAAGCCGTGTGGTCTCGATAACGTTACCGTAGGATTGTAATATGAGTGGCGCCTACTTTCGCGTAGTGGGTCCTATGAATTACCTCGCCCTTGACTATCATTTTTATCCTATCTTCATCTCCAGCGCCATGCGATGATGTATGTGGTCATAGAGATGCGGCTAAGTCAAAACTGATCAATTAGCGCGGAGCAGGGATAGTGGTCGTGTCGTGAATTCCATTATGTCGCAATTAAACCTCTGTCCGTATTTATTGCAAGGTCTATCTTGATGGCTGGGACTAGCTCTTTGTGTGTCTAGTTTCGCTTCTATTCTATATATATTTAAGGATATATATAGCGGCTTCATATAATTTTAAATACTTAAGACCTTATACTTAAAAAGGATATCTACCTAATAATAATAGTTAAAATATAATAGATACTTATAGCCTTAACCTTATAATATATAGATAAGGCTAAGGGGTACTATCTTAATAGTGGTGTTAACTAGAATGCGCTCTTTGTGTTTATATTAACTTATGCTGCATGCTACATAGCATTTACATGAGAGTTATGTAGATAAGTGGTTTAGTTCTTAATCCGTATACATCACAAGGGCGTGAAGAAATGATAGAAACTTGCACCTTAATACATATTTGAAAATTCTACTAGAATTCCAATCGTCTCATAGAAAATCATATATCGTCCGCGGAGACTGTCCGATCAGAATCACGAAGTGCTTCGGTCTCCCCTTCCCAAGGATACCGAAGGAGAGGTCGCGGGTCGCCCCACGTCTGACTCTGCCAACATTCAAGATCAAACCCCAGCTCTCGCCCCAGGTCCTTTTGGGCCCCTTCCGAGATGTGACTGTTCCCATACAACTCGAAAACTTTCCGAAAACTGTCTACATGAGGTACAAACCAGAAATATGCCAGTTCCTCCAAGGAAACAGACCAATTCCGATTTCGGGCTAGCCCCAGGATCCCGTCCTCATCTTCATCGATCAATATTGGTGTGTGAATTTGAGTTTGGTAGCCATCTGGTCCCCAAAGTCCCGTCATCTCCATTGTCTTTGCGTTTTTGTCTCTAGCACTGAAGTTGCAAGTCTGTTTGAAGTTGAGTGTGAATCTCGTGTCAGCCCCGTGCAGAATGAAGAGCAGCCACACCGGCGCGACGGATGCTTGATTGCAGGGTGTCACGATGCAGTGCCACACCATGTTCTGCCAAACGCTAGGTCTCAAACGTCCGCTCGGTAACCTCATGATCGAATTTGTTGATGTCCCACCCCCAAGGCAGATTGCTAAGCTGTGGAGCAATCTATCAAAAGAAGGCGGCACAAACTGTAGTGCACGATCCCTCATCCAGAACCCTTCCAGGGACATTGCAACAAGACATAAGACGGCATCACGGATTTTGCCTTCCAGGTCGGTCGTCGGCCAGAGCTCGTGAAGGCCCAACTTCAAGGCCACGAGAACAATACAGTCTTCAAGTTGGCACGGAATGATGAAATGCGTGAAATGCTTAGTGCCATCAGATCTCCAGAGAGAAATGTACATGAATTCAGACGCCCAAGTTGATTCAGACTCTGATTGGATTAGAAGCCTCACCTGGGATATAGTTGAGATGAGAGTTGACTTATTCGAGTCATGAATGTGGTAATGGAGCGAGATGAGGCGTTCCAGTTCGGCTGCAACCCATAGTCTTCCGTAAAGCGCCTCTGATTTTGTATCCTCTCTGCCATGTGGTGTAATACTCGATAATATGTCCTCTAATCCATCATACTCTGTTTCAAATCGGTCAGCTCTGAATCTTAGATGTAGTATCCCTCGGAACGTAGAACCCTTCATTGGGCGAAGGAGTCTGCTAACCTTCATCAAGGGACCATACTTTCAACTCGGCAATCAATGATTGACAATAGAAAAGCAGTCTGTCGAAGCCTCGTGTGTACTCTTTAATAGAAACTTGAACATCGGGAAGTTGAAAGAATTCAATGAGCGACCGATGCGTTAACACCACAGTTTCTTTCCTAACGAGAACTTCATGCTCCCAATAATAGGACCTTATGGTGAGAAGTCCCCTGCAGCCACCGCCAAGCTGCTTTCGGCAACGAGATAAGCGCGCACTCCTATCTGCGGCGTTTTTCGTACTTTTTACTTGGCTCGAAAAGTCCGGATCGCGATCATAGTCGTTCATGAACGAAAGATGTGTTAGGTACAGGCGACCGTTGCATGCGGGTACTTGGATCTCATCCACAGCAAGGGAAAGCGTCCGCATAGCTTTTCGGCGCTTGGCCAGGTCCCTTTCCGTCTTGATTGAGTCGAAAATGACTCGGAACAGCTGCTCCAGTTCGTGAGGAAGCTGTTCTATGGCGCTCTCAAGCTCCTCAATTGATTCTTCTAGCACTAAGCCCCGCTCCACAAGCCTCATCGCAAGAGACACCCAGAGGAAGACGCCCTCTGCTCTTTCAACTAGCAGTCTTCCAAGGCGTGCCACCTCTTGGGGCTGAGACAAGGACTTGACATCTTCATTCTCCCGTAACGTATCGTACACGAAAAGGAATATGTCTCGATAGGTAGCTTCGTGCAGTCGGAACTTGGGACATTTAGAAAAGCGTTGTTGGAAAATGGGCAATTCTCGACTGGAGACCAAGATCTTTATGTTTTCCGAGCCTGAGTGAGCCCACTGAAAGAGTGTCTTGACAAGCGAATCGTCGTGGCCTTCGAACTCGTCCAGGCCGTCAACGAAAAACGCGAACTTGTGTTTGGTATAGACCTCGGGTGTTTCCATGAGGATTTCGAATGCCTTCTGGATGTCGGACAGGTGGAAATGCAATGTCTTTCCGGGACTCGTCCTTGCCGCCTCCCACTGAGTAGGGAAGACCATCCGTGCGAGGTCAGGGTGTCCATCGATTACAGAATGTAAGAGCGACCGTAGCAGCCCGTGGAGTGATTTTTGAAATTCCGTACCATGCCTCCAGAAGAAGAACGACGCAAATGTAATCTCCTTCCCGTCCGCCCAGGTATTCATGTACTTTTTGATCTCATTGCTATCAGAGAGATATTTCATCAAGGTCGACTTCCCTGCTCCTGGCTTTCCAGAGATGTGGAATATTCCGTTTCCATGCGACAGCCAGTTGGTAAAGCTTTTCCGTATCTCGAGTCGTAGCGGAATGTCCTGCTCAACAGCATCGTTCATGATGCTGAACCACTGGTCATTCATGTCCCCCGTCGATACGATGGATGAGTCCGGGGACTCTTCTTCTAATAGCCACTTGAATGTGTCGGGATGCGCCTCCACGATACTATCAAAGCGGCTCTCCATCTTCTCAAACCTGAGAGCCTCCAAGATGCCGTTTTGCAAGACCTTGGAGATAGCCAGGTCGGACAGGTCGAGGATCGCCCGCGCCTCGTCTTGAAGTTTAGAATTCGGATTCAAGCCTGCCACGGCGTCTTTAAGAACAGCCAGTTGCTGGTTAAGAGACCGTAATTCTTTGTCGTAACATTTTCCTGTTTGCACGATCTCGTCCAGACGACTGAGACTTTCAAGCCTGAGAATGATTAGGTGAGTGGGCCGTTCGACAACGATATCTTGATTTGTGTTTATTCTTAGCACTAACCTCGTGGTGTGAGACAACTGCAAATGCAGCTGCTGACGACATTTATCCAGCCTAGCTTCCAAATTCTTTTTCTCATCCTTCTTCTTCACATTTTTCATGATACTGCTCAAGACCTGTCGCTTCGATTTTGGATTCTTCGCTCTCAGCTTGTCCAGAAGCTTCTTCAAGCCACCGGAAAGTTCCAGACACTTATCAGCAAGCTCCGTGAGTCTTTGGTTATCTGCAGACATGATTCCGCTTGACCTTGCGACTGTTAGGTCTGATGCCACGGCTTCCATGCGTTCGTTAAGGAATTTGATGTGGTTGTTAGCTGCGGTCGTACCGGATGACGACGCACGAACCTCTCTGGCAGCCGATATGACTTCATATCCGAAGTCGATAAACGTGATGACACCCGAAACCAGTCCTATGGCAGAAAGAGGATCCATCGCGGGAATCTGTTGGCGCAGCTGGTGCGTAATCGAAACGAGAACAACAGCAGAAGTATCAGTCAGTGCTTCCAACCCGCAGCGGTTCAGCGAAGACGACGAGTACTGTTGATATGAGGGGAATGCAGGCTTCAGCAGAGAATAGACGTAGAAGCCTGAACAGAAAAAATGAGGGGAAATCCTGAATCTCTGACGGATTTGGGGCTGAAATTGGGTGACTGCATGACTTTTCCTAAGCGAGGCCAATCAGGTGCCGACAGATCGTCTATCTCGACACGAATTTGTGCAACATCGGGTTAAGCCACCCACTGCGTTTCCCTTACCAAACGAGTAAGGGCCGCTGTAATTTTTGGTAATTTTCCAATACAAAGACGCTGTGATGACATTGCATGCGTAGGTTCCACGAGCTCTGCTCGCATGTCCGCTGAGCGGTCACGGCGTTTATTTCTCCACCTTCTTCCTATAGAGCAGCCTTCTGTAGGCGAGTGGTTTCTTTTTTAATCCCCATACATACAAAATGTATGTGGCGCCTTCATATAGTGGTAAACGCTCAAAACCAAGCGTTTTTTTTTTTTAAAAAAAAAAAGAAAATACAGTGCCAATAACATCGGAAAGAGAATACAGTACGTCTGTGGGCATGTGGCTCAGCCTTCTGTACGCAATAGGGCAACCCTCCATAGAAACGCTCCGTGTATTCCAGCCTCCTGAGTGGCATCCTGGCACAGATGATTCCAGAACGACCGACCAGGAGCACCCAAGTCACCGGCGCCCTCTAGCATAACATCAAACAGCCTTTTCAACATGTGGCGTGTTGCGGTAATGTGTGAAAAGCCAATTACACGAAAACTATATTCCATCTTCTTTCTACTTTGACTGTTCGCCATGCAGGGTAATGAAGATGGATTTTGGTCCGCCAGGGTGGTTAACCTCCACTGCTCCTTCATGCTGGGGTCGATGTGGGAGTAATGAAAAGAGACATCCTTGATGTGGCGCTCCGCCCAGAAGAATTGCTCCAGCATCATGCTCGGTGCTTCAACAAAGTCTCGGTCCACAAGGTTCAGGGCGGCGTACCTGGTGCGCGTGAACAGGGCGTGCAAGACATGGCCGAGCTCGTGGAACAGCTTGCGCACCTCGTTCAGGCTCAGAAGGGTGGGCCTCGTGTCTGTCGGGCGCTGGTAGTTCATCACCAGCGCTGAAGACGCATAGAACCGACTCCCGTCTGCCTTTTCATATCCCTGTGCTCGTCTTGGTTTAGAAAGATGATGGACGCCAGAAGCTTGCCAGGCCTGAGAGCCAATAATGGAGCTGCCTGCTTCCCTAGCATTCCGCTTCTGAGGCTACTTACTTATTTGCCTTACCCCGCACGTCTTCTAGCCTTCTCTGAGGCTGAAAACCATCACCACAACAATAAATTGCGACAGCGTTAAAAACCAGTCATACCTGGCCTTGCATCGGGCCCTCTTCAGTTTCGAAATTTCCTGTTCACTTATTCCCTGGATCTCGATCTTCCTTTCCAGTTGTCGACCATTTTTTAATCCATTCTACCTTTGGTTCTGGGCTCTATCCTGCCAGTGTGGCTCCAGAGACAGTTTTTCTGTACCCGCCTCGAAAATATGGGGTCCTGCCCATTCTACGTCACCAAGACACTCTGTCACGAGGATGAAGACCGCCATGAACTCTCCGTCCACGTTCGTCACAATGGCCGTCTTTTCTTCCTGACATACCATACGGACTTCTTCATTCGATCGCCTAAGATTCGAGAAAGGTACCTCGAATACCTTGAGGAGATTAGAGAGGAAGGAGACTCTGATGGGTTCGGTTGGCTTTTGGAACCATTCGAGGACCTGGTCATCAAGCTCGCTCCACCACTTTCCCGGGCGAGGCCTTCTACGTTGTCGCAGTATGCATTCCCTGACTTCTACACATACCGGCTTGAGGCAGTAGATGGAAAGCGCTACCCGAAAGAACTCGACAAACGGCGTGGCTGGATACCCCCGGGGCTCCCAACCACAGCGGACAAGATGCAAGACCTCAAGTCATGGACCTGCGTCTATAGCCCTTCTCAGATTATCCTGTGCTACGATCAATCTGGGGATGTCCTGGTGAAAACGCCAGCACGCATACAGCTAGGCGACAGCCACGGGAAGAACAGTTACTTCTTCAAAAGCTTCGTTGAGCATGGCCATGATTCCCAGCTGGACCGTGAGCTGGCTGTCTTTAAGCAAATTCAAAAGTCGAACATCAAACTCGGAGCACGTATAAGCCGCCTTCACGGTGTCGTCGCGACCGAGGATGGCAAAAGGATTCTAGGACTACTACTTACCTGGATTGATGCTCCAAAGGGTCCCTTGGCATATCAATACATCAGACGCCCGCTACAAACAAGGCTGCAGTGGGCGGCACAGATTCGAGAGACCATAAAAGAGCTGCATAAGGAAGGTATAGTATGGGGAGACGCAAAAATGGAGAATGTGCTGTTAGATAAGGACGACACACCTTGGGTCGTGGACTTCGGAGGTGGCTTCACTCCGACCTGGGTGGATCGCGAAAATGGGGAGACGGTAGAGGGCGACTTACAGGGTCTGGAGAAGATCGTGGGCAGGCTTTCCAATCCGAACCCTCCACGTTTGAGCACTCCGGATCCTTCATCGGATTAATACGCCAACTTTGGAGATGTTGTGGGCAGATGGACACGGTCTGTGTACTCCCACGAGGATCTCGGCCCACGGCATGACCTCAGAGGGCAGCACCGGCTTTACCCAGTTTGCACCGCAGTCTGTTCGTGGCCTCTTCCCTGCCGCGGGAAAATGCATTGGCCAGTGCATGCTGAGGTTGGCATGCAAGGTAGATTTTAGCGGAAAACACAATCTTATCGTTGTTAGCTGCAAACATTGCTCATTCGTGGCCGTGTAGCTAGAAAAGTCCTAGCATTTGAAAGAACATTACCGTAGACCTCGTTGCATCAAACTAATACCTACTAAGTAGCCATTAACGAAGGTACCGCAGGCTCGCCGACCCGGTAGCGCTCAAGCCCCAGAAGATTTACGCAAGTTTCCTTGATTGCCCGTTTTATGACGTGAAAGAAAAGGAAAGTGGACGTCGAAAAAAACAAAACAAAGAAAAACACAGAACTCCAAGAACAACCCTGTCCACCATGGAGGACATCTATTCCGAGACACTGCAACTTTTGGGGAGATCTGGGGCTTGCAGGACCGGGTGGAAACATTGAATGAATGAGGCTTCGATTGAGATACGAGCAGTGCGTCCACTGAAAAAGCTTCAATGCACCGTGGTAGTCATCACCTGTATTCTCAGGCTCAGCTTCTTACAACTTCACTCTTCTACCACATTTGTAAGGTATTGATCAATATTTAATTGAACAGCCGGACATATGCCGCCGCCACCCCTTCTCAAGTGCTACGCTTCCTCAGACTGCCTGCCCAGGTGTACTCGGAGGACTTACCTAATGAGAGCATCCTTTTGGAGATAGCATGAATATGTATGTGTGGCTACTGCGTTTGCCCTTTCCGTTTTCGTTGCCCAGGTGGCATATCTTCCTTTTGAGATGGAAACAGATCGCGTAAGATGACAACGAAAGCGTTGGCAGCTGAGGCAGACAGAAAACGGCGCTGACACTTATCATTTCCATTGCTGTACTATTTTAGTTGCTTTTCAAAATTATTTTTGCCTCTGAAAGCTTTTGTAGAAACTATGTGTCCGTACACAGTCTACGAGTCTCATAGCGCCGCAGACAGCGACAGATCGCCAAACGGTTTCGAACGGGCTTGATAGCGCCGCAGCCAGCCACAGGTAGGTACTTAAGTGAGTTCCGGGCTTTTTACTATTGCCTAAGCCTTTCTCACTACCTACCTAGGTAGGTACCTAGATACCTAGATACATACTGATATTCAAGTTTCAGGACATTAATGCAAATCCTAATCTTTGGCTTGCTTCGAATTTCTCATCCATGATGGATTTAGTCTTGCCAGCATCGTATTGCGAAGCACCGTCGCGAAATAGCTCCGAACTAACTGACAAGAACGGCAGCCAACTCAACTTTGCAATTTTGGACACAACAAAAGCACTTAAGCCGAGGAACATGGAGTGTCCTTAAAAGTGCTGCCATATCCCTCAGGTTGATTCCTTGCAAACTTTCCTTTTACAACCCACCGTATACAAGGCAGACTGATCCTGCCTCCAGTCAACTCTCCACTGCGTTTCAATTAACATGTCCAGAAAATGTTGAAGGGATTTCTACTCGGCCTCGCCGGTGTCGTAGTCGTCGACTCGATGCCGGCTCAAACTCATGGCCAGACTCTCACTGCCGGCGCTACTCCAGGCGCAACCCCAGACTTTGGCGCGGGCTCATTTGGTGTCAATCCTTCGAAGACTGTGCCCAATATTGTGAGCGATTTGGTGGACAATTTGATACCTTTTCACCCCAAGACTCCAAAGACCACGACCGAGGAGCCCAAGAACTCGTCCACCTCATCTAGCACGACAACACCCGCTACCACATCTGTCGGGACCACCGAGACCGACACGACTAAGCAAAACACAACGAAGAATTTCAGCCCAGCGACTACTTCATCTACTATAGCGCCACTACCAACTGGAGTGAAAGATGTCGTCAACAGTCTTGACAAATCCAAGAAGAACAGAGACTTAGCGATTGGTCTCGGTGTTGGATGTAAGTACACCAAAATGGGGCGCCCCCTTGCCCTGACTAAACCCCCCTCCTCACCATGGCCATGTCATGTGGGAATGTATACCACATGTTGCTTTATTGTATGCGGTCGCCCTACTAGTAGAGTATGACTTTCTATACGGCACGCGCCTTCATTGAACCCTTCTATACGATACCGTCCTGCTGCAGGGCGTGGTTCATGGGAGTTCACGTAGTGATTACTGCCTAGGTAGCTCACTGCATGCGCAAACATACTCTGGGCTTGTGTATCAGATATGTGATCAAAGCTAGTGCTTTGATACCTAGGTAGTGAGTGATATGGCGACATGTCCTCGCCCGACTTCACCAAAAGCCTCAGGGCATCCAGACAGGTCGCAGGCGGGCGATATTTTCACCTCGACACTCTTTCCCATAAATGTTTGCCTTGTTCATCCGAAGCTAACTCATACTTCTTCAGTGGGAGTTGGTGTTCCGGCCCCTGCGGGGCTCTTCGGCTGGATCTCAAAGATGTGGGCATCGTCTAAGGGCGACTCAGACGTTGCCACTACCCTAGGAGAGGCCATGCCACGAATGAGACTAGGCGAAATCCCCGACTACTCAGGTGCTAGCTCCTACAGCTACTCTGATCTGACACGCGATTACCATGACTTTTGGGGTCGGCCTGGGGAGATAGATACCGACTTCAGCGACTTAGACTTCTATGACGAGTCCATCTCGTCCGATCAAATAATTGAACGCTGGATTGACCAGATAGAAAAAGGTGCCAGCAAAGGTGGCTCTCCTCCAAGTGGCTCTACTCCAGGGGGCTCTACTCCAGGAGGCTCTCCTCAGAGGGGCTTTCCTCCAGGGGGCTCTACTCCAGGGGGTTCTACTCTAGGTGGCGGTGACGACGGTTCGCGCGGCGACGACGACGACCGTGATAGATGGGGAGAGGAGTCTAGAGGCGAGAGTCTGGGAAGTCATGTATCTGATGCATTGGACAGGCTTTACCAAACGATGGCCGAACATGGCTACGATCATAACGCGGCACACCAGGCCCTCCACAGGTTCGGCCAGGACTTGGCGCGGGCAGAAGCTTCAGTGGCACGGGAAGATCTCCTCACAGGACCTGGCTCTGGAGGATCCGGTAATGGTGGATCTAACGCCGCCACAGTGGTCGATCAAGCTGCTAATGCGGCTTTGAGTGAGGCTTCTCAATGGAGGCAAGTAAGATTGGAGGGGCTTGTCAAGAACGCGGCGGAGAAGGCGGCAGGTGCCTATTCCAATGCCGAAAGATTCAAAGCTCTCGAATATGCTGGAGTTCCTGACGTTGTTGTCCAGCCCACTTGGAATGATGTGGCTGATGCCATGGAGGAGGCGCGGCCCCGCGGAACAGAGGCCGTGTATGAAGCCGCCCTCAACACCATCGCTGACCGCCTCACGATGCGAGACGTGGATTTTGCAGAGGCAGGGAATGTCGCTTGGTACGAAGGGAAAACACATAAGGCTTTCAAGGAAGCCCTGAGCACTGCAGGGTTTGTTGAGGATTCTTTTGACCGCACGATAAAACACGTGGGTGATGCCATCGATTCGGCTACTCACAACAATGCCGACCCCGTCTGTGCTGCGATCCGCGCGGTCAGAGAAGCTGCGGCGTTTCCTCCGAATGTCAGAGAGACCAGATCTTGGAGTGTCAACGCCCCTGATGAGATCAAAAAGGCCCTTCTCGACGTCCTCAAATCCTCGCACAACTTCTGGCCCCGGTACGCCAATGCTATGTATGACGTCTTGAAGAAGCTCGAGAACAAGCCGCATTCCAAGGTTCTGGATGACATGCTTGCCGATGGACCACCACCAAAGATGGCTCCTTATAGGGGTATCTACTATCCTTACCGCCGGGGAACGATTCCAGGCCATGGCGTGGAACCAGTTCCAGTCACGCCTGTCGAAGCCCATCGAGATTTCATATATGCGAATTCGACAGCCCCCTGGTTCTGCGGAAATCATACGCACTACTCCCTCATGGTATCTGCCTCTGAAGACAAGGATGTTGTGGCTGACGGCCTTCGAAACTTGAATGATGGTCAAGATAGGAGGGACCGCTATCTTGCCCGGCTGAGAGATAATCAAGACAGAGTCGCTAAGCTGGCGAACGCGGTGCCGATCGCGCTTTGCAGACTGCGTCTCGATCCGCACATGCCGGACTATCAGACCCCTGCGACGATGGGATACAATCGCACATCTCACGCATTGCTGCGGATGTGGAAATCGGTTCTTCAGAGCAAGAGCATTCGAATTGACGCTGGTGGGGTGAATGATTGTGCAAACCTGACGTCAAAGCAATTCTCCGATGTCAAAAGCATGTCCAACCAGTCGCTGTACGAGGCCACGGACAAATACCACCAGCTCAAGAAAACCTCGCTCGAGAAGCTTGCGAGAGACGATCATGTTTTGTTCCATTGGATCCGCACATGGTCGGTCCCGATCGTGCAGTGCAAGCTTCAGCTTTTGCTGAGAACACCTGACACTCCCGAGGAGGATCTGACCAAGTATCGAACCTCCATTCAGAGCATGAGCGAAGTTGCGCAGAATTTGTATGACATCAATGCAGCAGCACCGATACCGACGGCCCCACCGCAAGATCCGATCCACCTTCCAAAGCTGGAGTGGCCCTTCGAAGGGCGCGGTTGTCCGTTTCGCTGGAAGTTTTCGGGACCTCCTAAAGGGGACGGGCCTGAGGGGACCAAAGAAGCGGTGAAGTTTACAGACCAAGTGATCGACCATTTGGACACTTTTCAGCAACGCCGGGGCGACTATTTGCAGTACATGAAGGAGCACGAAAACGAGATCGTCAAAGCTACGGAGGCCGTGGATGAGATGCAATGTCTTACCCGTGTGGGGTGGGGTCTTGACAAGAAGCTCTGGCCGATACTTCAAGACATGTCGCTGGCACTGCGAACACTCTTTTTGGAACTCCACGCTCCCGCCGCTGATCCAGCAAAGACACCAGAGTTCGTGGACGTGGAGACGCCGACCTCGAAGCTTCACATGCGTGAGCACCCTTTCTGCCCTGACTTCAGGCAGCATGGAGATTTGGGCAGTTTGGAGGACCCGAGGTTTATGGTTCTTCTCTACGACCCTCAGAGGAAGGATGAGGAATATCGTCGTGCTTTTGAAGGTTTCAAGAAGCTGGCCTTTGAATCTATGGACCTTTTCAAAAAGTACGGCGACGGATACCTCCGGTACATGCGATCACGCCCTGAAGAACTCGCCTTGACGATTAAGGTGTTGAAAGACATGGATTGCGCCATCCGTGGAGAGATCAGAGATCGGTTCTTGGAACAGAAGAAGAAAGCTTTCTCGCCGTTCCTGGATACTAAAGAGAAGGTTGATCATTACACCACTACACTGCTGAAGATGTTGAAGGCACTGCAACAACTAGTGACCATCACAAGGCCAACCAGTATGCCAGAGGTGTTCAAATTGTGTCGCGTCCGCGATGGGGAACTACAGTGCCCTCTGCTTTAGCTCTGCTTGGATGCGATTTTGAACGAACTGTGACGGATGAGCAAGGGCTCAGACGTCGCAGAATCACATCCCGGGCAGGCATGCAAATAATTTACACCCATCGGTTATATGTGCAAGTTCTTCTATTTGCCCCCCCCCCCCCCGACCACAGTTTCTTTTCCAGGGTTTCTTTGCAGGAGTCTCTCTCCTTCGGCTTAGTTTAGCACGGGATTGAAAGCTTGATTGCCAAGGACGAAAGACTAGGCGGTGCGCAGTTCTGAGCCACCCTACTTTCAAGGCGAACAAACCCTGCCTGGATCGGAGACAAAGAATTCGATTTCATCAAGAAGGATTTAATCTGGTGGTTTCAAGTGGTTCCGTTTCTAAACCCCATACATATGAAACGTATGCAAGTAATAATTTTAATAATGAATTTCAACCCAATCTCCACATCCTTTTTGAACCTGTCCTTGCCTTGCAGCTGTGTGGTCTGGTAACAAGGTTGGAAATGAATCACGCCACAGCTGTTGGATTAATACCCCGGCTATCGAATGGTGGCCAATTACCATGCCAAAGGCAGGAAAATTATTTGAAGGGAAATAAAATAGCTAACAGCCATACCTCCCGGTGGTTATCAGATTCTTGGACGGAATGGTGCTCGTAGATGTTGTTCGACATATTTGGACTGGTTTCGTCACTTCTAAGGTTGTACCGATACCTTTGCTTAGGTCAGTCATGTCCTTTACAAATTCAGACCTGATTTCGCAAGATCACCGGGTAGACTGAAGCAAGTCTACATTCCTCCCCACTAGGGCTCGGACCGGCTCCTGGCTAACATCTAGTGCCCAAATGGTGTCACGTCTAGCGATGAGGTCTCGTTGCACAGAGTAGATATGTGAACTGTGAATGTCCGGTGAACACTAGTAAACTCTTAACTTAACATTCTCACTACCTAGGTACTTACTACGTAGGCACTCCGGACTGTTACTAGCGGCACGATCATGCACTCCGTCGGTCGCTAGATGACTCACGGGTTCGCACGAGTCTCATGCACTAAGGTTATCACATATAAAACTCTGCGACTCCCAGGACTTTTCTCTCCGTCTGCACAAACTCTCTTAACCTTTCCAAAACCAAGCAACACGCAAAGGGGGGCAAAATCAAACGCAAACACAGAGGGCAACCACAGCAGCCACACTCTCACGCCTTCTCCGAACCACTGCTCTCATGGAGTAGTCCTCCTTGGGGGTACAGGAGGTCTGGGGGAGGGTGGAAGGGCTTGCTTATACCAAATATGTAGTATTCTGAACCATGATCTATGATGATACATCTCGTACCCCGGGTATTGAGAGAAAACTGAGATCGCCAAGTTCTGAGGCTGAGTGCGTGATGGAAAGTCAAGTGGGCCTTCTCCATCGGCGTTTCAGTGGAATCATGGTTTGCACGTACAGCTGCACTGATATTCGTTGGTTGGCAGCAGTGACATACTCATTCAATGAATTTCGTTCTCTCTTCCCCCGGGACAAGTCCATCATCGCCACGGGAAGACGCAAACACGGGCAGGAAGAAACAACGAAGTAAACTTTCGTCGAATAACTGTCATTGAGTATTCACCACAGCCCCAGGGAGTTGCGACAGTGGCACAGAGGCTAATAAGCAGGTGCCCAAGTCAGTCCGCGGTACTTGCTCCCGTTCTGCCTTCTACCAAGTACAACTTGAAGCCTATCCAATGTCACACCACCCGCGAAGTAAACAAGCACGCAGGAATTCCGTAGAACAAGTTTGGCGATGCAAGTGTAGGTCGGCTGTGACCAGTTGAACCACATATAGTGTCTCTGTAGCTCGCAAGTGTCCCTAAATGGCGGCTGTATCTCTTTTAAAGACAAATCAAGACCTGCGAGGCTCCTGGGAAGTGCTTAGATAATAGGGTATTTAGAGTCTATCAAGCCACATATGCAGTGACGCAGTCCTGTTGTGCTCCTGACAAGTGCTGTTCATTGTGCCCCAGAGTCCCACCCAGCCTCAGACAGTGGGAATTAACGCGCTGCTTCGGCAGGAGGACCCGTGGCAAGAGGCAGACAGACGCAGAAACACACGAACCGATAATCGAGGCAGAAGGAGGGTAGGACGCGGCAGGGGCGGTGGATGGGGCAGAAGGGGGCCGCGGCAGCACTGGAGGGCGCAAGGCGGGAAGGACCAGTTGACGCCCATCCATGGACTGTACTTTGTGGATTTCCTGGACAATGAATCGGCGCCTGTGGGATGTACATTGTCACCATTTCGGAAGCAGAGATTGCAAGTGCCCAACTTTGAGTTTTTGCATGTTCGAGCACAAGCAAAAATCAATTTTTCTGCACACTTACCTAGGTCTTTACCGTACCAGTATGTTCGACAGAAATGCATGCAGTACTCGGGATTTAGGGCTAGTTCGGGCTCAGAAATGCTGTGAAGGTCGGCAAGAGTCACGGTGATGCGTGGGTGACAAGGCCCCAGACGGCAGGCACGCATCTATCGTGACTTCTGGCTTGTTTCCTTCAAGATGAACATAGTAAGTGTGCCATGTAGGGCTTTTCACGGTGAATTCCAAGTCGCTCCTGCAAACCAGTTCATCCGGGCCTATCTACCCGTCGAGGTTGGGGTCAGGTGCTCAGGTAGTCTGTCTTCCAGCGAGAACAACCCTAGGAAGTTCTCCACAGGGTTTTCCCACACCCCCCCCCCTCATTGAGCACCTCCCCTCGTCGCCCGCGAAGGGTAGTGAGATTTTGCATGCGGCACAAGCCGACCTCTCTCTTCTTCCAGTGCCATGTCTATGTACGTATTGCTACGTCTTACTGCTCTATATGATTCCTTTTCATCTATCTGTACTTATGCCTCTAGGATGACCTCCATTCACAAAGTCCTTTTTATAGTCGCCATTCGCCTCGTCAATGCGGTCGCGGTAATTGCGTGAGAAGTGCCCGTCCATCGGCGGCACGGGGTAAACATCACCGCCAAACACAGCACCGCCCGTCTTTACACACTCAAACATGGCAGCGGCGGCCTCCTCATCGGCGAGACCATCGACCACGGCCGCGATGCGCGCCAGGGGGCTGCGCGGGTGGGCGGCCGCGTAGTCCAGCGCCCGCCGCCGCCACTCGAGGAAAGGCACCCGCGCGTGGCCCCCGCCGAGCAGCTCGAAGAAGCGGTCGATTGTGATGGCGTGGCTGTTGACAAAGTCAAAATCAAGCCCGATGCGCGCCCGGTCCTCGACCATGACGGCGGCGACGGTCCGGCACAGGTAGTCGACGGGCAGCACCACCGACATGTCGCCGCCCAGGCGCGGGAAGCAGCCCAGCTCGAGGCTCCCCGCGACCAGGTTGTGCAGGAAGTCGCCGCGGTCGCGCCGGAAGCGGCCCGTGGACGCCGCGGCCGTGATGAAGGGCATGCGGTACACCGAGGCGCGGGCGCCGCGCCACCGGGCCGCTGCCACCATGCGCTCGGCCATGAACTTGGAGGTGGCGTAGCCGTGCTCGCGCTCGGCCTCGGCGACCTCGAGGCCCATGTGCAGCGGCAGCGTGGCCAGCGTGGAGACGACGTGGACGGCCTTGGGGCGGGCGCCGTGCGCGGCGAGGCGCAGCACCTCGTGCGCACTCACGACGTTGGGGCCCAGGTAGTCTGCCAGCGGCCGCATCCAGTCGACGAAGCCGCCCGCGTGGCAGATGGCGTCCACGCTGTCCGCCAGGTGGTCAAAGTCGTGCCTCGAGAGGCCCAGCAGCGGCCGTGATGCGTCGCCGACCACCGCGTGGACCCGCGGGGCAAAGCCGGGCCGCCACAGGTCGTACGCCGCCAGGGCTTCCTCCAGCCGTGCCCTGCCGTGGTCGGCGTCGCGGGCCCGCACGAGGCAGTGGGTTACGAGGCCCTGCTGGAGGAGCTCGTGGAGCATGAAGGCGCCTACGAAGCCGGTTGCGCCTGTCAGGAAGACCGCCTTGGGGCGCGGGACTCCGGGGCTCGCGTTGTCGAATGAAAGCTGTGGGTCGAGGAAGCCCCTCCTCACCCGCGCCATGTTCCATTCTGATCTGGGTCTGCCACGGCCGCTTGTGTTTCTTCTCCGGCCTGTACTTGGGACAGCAGGAACTGGCTTAGTGAATACAGGTTTGGGTGGTTCCAGGTGATGCTGCTGGCCGATAGGGTCCGCAGCCCTGTCAGGTTCGCCAGCTGGTTGCGCAACAAGACCGCCGTCAGTGAGTCAAACCCAATGTCCTGCAGGGGCGCCCTGACATCCACCTCATTTTCCGAGGACAGTCCCAGGACCTTTGCCATTGTCTGCCGCACCAGTTGTAACACAACGGCGGGGTGCTTCTCGGGGACTGTGTCCGCCAGAACTCTGCGCATGGCTGAGCCGTGTTGCTCCCCTCGCAGGTCTCCGTTCCGGCTGGGGTGACGGCTATCGGCATGGCCATTGCTTTGAATTCCATTCGGCATCAACAACTCACGATACAAAGGTGGCACATTCCCGTCCGCGGCCTCCTCTTCCAATAGATACTTGTGGAGCCGTTTGAGATCGAGCGCCGCGGCGACGCTAAGTGCCCGGCCACTCGACACGGCCTGGTCCAGCAGGCGTAAGCCGTCTCCCGGCAGCAGCGGGTCGAGCCCGAATTCGGACAGGTGAGCAAGAGTGCTCCTGCTCGTCAGCCCGGCCGCCATGCCGTCGCCCTTCCAGACACCATACGCAACAGAGGCAGCCGGCAGGCCCCGGGCGGCGCGCAGGTGAGCCAGCGCGTCCATGAAGGTGTTGGCGGCGGCGTAGTTCCCCAGCCCCGGCATGCCCAGCACGCCCGAGACGGACGACAACATCACAAACAGGTCGAGGTCCATGTCCCGGGTCATGGTGTGCAGGTTCCAGGACCCGTCGACCTTGGGCGCGAAGACGGTCGCCAGGCGCCCCGGCGTCAAGGCCGACAGCACGCCGTTGTCCACGAGGCCGGCGGCATGGACCACACCACGCAGCGGCCTCCCGGGGCTGCTGCCGAACATGCGCAGCA